AGTACAGTACTCTATAGTACAGTACAGTATAATACAGTACAGTATAGTACAGCACAGCATAATACAGTACACTACAGTACAGAACATTACAGAACTGTACAGTGCAGTAGAGCACAGTACAGTCCAGTACACTACAGTTTAGTACAGGAGAGCACAGTATTGTACAGTACAGTGTAGTACAGAACAGTAATCTACAGTACTGTACAATGCAGTAGAATACAGTACAGTACACCACACTACACTACTTTACACTACAGTACACCACACTACGCTACACTACACCACACTACAGTACACCACACTACACTACACTATGCTACACTACAGTACACCACACTACACTACACTACACCACACTACACTACAGTACACCACACTACACTACATTACAGTACACCACACGGTCAAAATACCCTTGACCTTATCTTAACAGACTTAGCGGACCAGTACCAACCACCTCAACCACTGCCTCCTATCGGGTGTAGCACACACCTATCAGTGCTCTGGTCCCCAGCTGCCACTCCCACTCAAGTACAGAGACCCTACATCAAGACCTACAGGCCGATTACTGACTCTGCAGTGCGTCTCTTCGGGCAGTGGATAGTTCACCATCCCTGGACTGAAGTACTTAGTGTGGATGATGTGGAAACCAAATGGATAAATTATACCAACACCACCACGGAAGCTCACCACCACTTTTTCCCCGAGAAGTCCGTCAGATCTCACCCAGCTGATTTGCCCTGGATCACACCTCGGATCAAAAGACTTATGCAACAGAGAGACAGAGCCTTTCATCTCAATGACCACAACCACTACAGGTCCCTATGCAACCGCGTCATCCGCGAAATACGCACTGCAAAGAAGTCTCACTACTCAACCAAGTTGCAATACCTGAAGCAGACCAACATCAGTCAATGGTATGGTAAGCTTTAAGAACTCAGCAGACTAAACAATAAGACACATCCCCTCCCCTTCCTTAGCCATCTCACTAATGTTGACGCAGCCGAGCAATCAAATAACCATTTCGCTACTATATGCCAGACGCTCCCACGGCTTGACACAACCACTCTCCCTGCTTACCTACCAGCCCCCCTTCCCACTGACTTAGTAGAAGAATTTGAAGTAGGAAAAGGTCTGGACAAACTGAAGTTAAAACGTTCAACCACCTCCATTGACTTACCAATGAAACTCTTCAAGGAGTTCTACCCGGAACTAGCTAAACCCCTCTGCTCCATCATCAATGCTTCTCTCAGTCAAGCCAGATGCCCAGCTGAATGGAAGACCTCTTATGTATCACCAGTGCCCAAGTCAACCAGCCCACAATCCTTAAATCAGCTACGACCTATTGCAATCACCCCAATACCCAGCCTAATCTGTGAAAGTTTTGTGTTTGACTGGGCTTATGCTGATATTGCAGGAGTCGTAGACCCTCAGCAATTTGGCAATATGAAAACTTCCTCCACCACTCACTGTCTTGTCAGCTTTCTCGATTACATATACCGCCATCTCGAGAAACGAAAAACGTCTGTAGCTGTCGCCTTCATTGATTTCACTAAAGCATTCGACCTAGTCAACCACAATATAATCATCAACAAAGCTATTGACCTCGGGCTTCGGAGAAGTCTTATACCATGGCTTACAGACTTCCTCAGTGACCGACACCAAGCTGTACGCTTCCGAGGGGCTGTCTCCACCTTTCAGTCACTCACCTGTGGCGTCCCCCAAGGCACCAAGATGGGACCACTCTGCTTCCTTATGCTCATCAATGATGCCCTTAGAGAAACCCCTGCTCGCTGGAAATATGTCGACGACTCCACCATTGGGATCAGCGTCAACAATTCTGCTCCCGACTATACCGCCCTTCAGGATTTATTGAACAGTCTCCAAAACTGGGCCACCAACAACCACGTCACCATCAACCATACCAAGACCATGGTTATGCACATCAACCTCTCCTCCGACATTGTCCCACCTCCTTCCATTACTTTAGGTCCGAACACACTCCAGGTTGTAGATTCCACGAAGCTCCTCGGCGTCACCATAGACAACAAACTAAATTGGAAACCACACGTCAGTGAAGTTGTCAAATCCTCCAGTTTCCGTCTCCACCTCCTCCGCCGACTCAAGTCCCTCGGAGTTCCTGCACCCGAGCTCCTCAGTGTTTACACAACATTCAAACTTCCCAAGCTCACCTATGCCTCCCCTACCTGGTCTTCCTCCCTAAATGCCACACAACGTAAACACCTAGAAAAAGTGCAAAAGAGGGCATGCAAGATTATTCTCTCCCCTTCCTACTCCACATATCAAGAAGCGCTCAACACACTGACCCTCTCGGCTCTCACTGACCATTACCACGACCTCATCTGCAAATTTGGTGAGAAGCTTCTGCACCATCCTCGACACCGGCTCCTACTACCACCTAAGATCCCTCGCCCGAGAATTGCTGTTCGACACTACAACCGCATTCATCCCATACGAACACGAACTGATCACTATAAGAACAGCCCAGTCCCAACCATTGTAAAAGTTATCAATAACTTTTTATAAACCAGTGTATTCACTCCCAGTAAATCCTACCTTTTGCACTGTCACTATGTTAAAATGCCCTGTAGTTTGAGCTTTTCCCCACCTAGTTATTATATATCATATTTGTATCACTTATGTTACTTGTATATTATTTGTCAATCAAGAGACCCATTCACCAATTATGTAACTGTATATTTTCACCCTTCCAGCTGCTATGCTCTTTCAATAAACCGTTAATTATTATTATTATTATTAAGTGAGACACAGTGCACAGCTACATTAACACCCTGACAGGTTAAACAGAGGGATGGATAATGTTGCAGCCTGTCACCTTCCATGTTTCCACAATACAAATGGGAAGCCATATATATGCAAGGCAGATATAGACCATTCATGAAATGACCTTGACTGCAAGGTCAGAGGTCACAGGTATATTTTGGATTTTTTTAAACAATCTTCATGCCACACAGCTGCACCGAGCACATGTACGATGCAGCACAATATAAAGTTGTGAAATAAACCCCGAGGAAAATAAAGCGGCGTGAGCACTACAGTACAGTACAGTGGTCCCTCGGTTAACGAACACAATCCGTTCTAGAAGGTTGCTTGTTAACCGAAACCATTATTTCAATGGGTTTTTGGGTAATTGGTTCCAGCTCACCGAAAATTGCCTAAATTCGACAAAAAAGGTAGAAAAATACACTTACTTTGAGGTGTGTATGTAGAAGGCTCCTGGATGATGATGATGATGATGGGAATTAGAATGGGGGTGGAGGAGAAGGGAGAAGAGAAGGCATTGGGGTGGAAGAGAAGTCACCCCATGGCGCCATTTCACCCATAAAATTTTAGTTCTCTTGGTGTAATTCAAGATTATTTTCTTTAAATCAACACTGCACTGCATTATATATTGTCAATATGTAAAATAAATTTCAAAATGACCAATAATTTGCTTGCAAACACAGAAAAAAAGCATTTAGTTGAAGAGTCTCAAGCAAGATGTTACCTCCACTGAAAAGACACAAAGACTGATGCCTGTTTGGTGTGTTGAGAGGCTGGATGGTGCACATAAAACTAGTTTCATTACCTTCAATTATGTTCAATAATTGTTAAAATGACTAAAAAAATTAATATTAAACTTTTAAAATTATTGAATAGTATAAACTTCTTGATATTTGCTAAAATGATAAGGAATTTAAGCCCTAGAACCGATTACTGTACTGGCGGACTAATACTACAGCTGGTGGACCGCCAAATGCAAGTGAAAACATGTTGAGGTCGGCTCGTAAGAAACTCGTTAATCGAGGGATTGCTCGTTAAACAAAGTTAAGAATCTTATGGAAGGTAACTCGTTAACCGAAATCTCGTTAACCGAGGCGCTCATTAACCGAGGGACCACTGTACCTACATACACTGTATTGAGAGGAATAATATTGGGTTGGAGAGTTTTAAAACATTGTCCACAAAATATGTGGATAAGATAATGACCATCAACACAACAAACTGTACAATGTGTCTTCCAAAGTTGTAGTGAGGCAATGTTGAGATATAATCTGGAATTAAAATGGTAAGAAAGAAAATAATGCTAAGTGTTCAGACGGCATAAATAGCCTCACCCGATACAGTATCTGAATGTCTTAAATCTAACTGACAAAGTACAGTAAAGTTAATGGTAAGAGTACACACACATGTAAACCTAACCTGAACAGAGGCATAAACATACACGAGTCATTCATCTCTTTAGAATTCTTCAATGTTTTAAGTATGAGTGTTTAGTGCTTCACATATTTAATAAATGGCAGCAGGCTTTAATAAACACAATATTTAACAATGATCAACTCCATATCACTCCCTTTATGTCTTATATTGTCCTGTACACTCACTCCATAAAGTATATTTACGATTTTGTGTGAGGCAATATGACAACAGATGAAGGATTTTGACAACCCTACTGAGACAACAGGAGTCACTGTGTTCATTCTGAAATTCATCGTTCGCCTCTGTAAAGATACTTTTGGGGTGTGTGTACATCAAGTAAACTGTCTGCTGCTCCTCCACACACCTCATCACCACCACAGTCTCCCCCACACACCTCTTCACCACCACAGTCTCCCCCACACACCTCACCACCGCCACCACAGTCTCACCCACACACCTCACCACCGCCACCACAGTCTCCCCCGCACACCTCACCACTGCCACCACAATCTCCCCAACACACCTCACCACCACAGTCTACCCCACATGTGTTAAGTCACTACATTACTGTACCTTATATACTGCATCTGAATGAAAATGGTAAAACACCATTATTGAGACACAAAGAGAAACACAAATGGTGCAGCACAGGAGAAAGGTAAATTACTCTGGTTCTGAATGATGACGACAGTTAGAGAGGCATTGTGGGATACTGTATAAAGGAGGATAAATTCTTGACTAGGAGGCAAATAATCTTGAGGTAAATGTAAAGTTACGAATACACAAGTTAAAGTTTACTTAGAAAATGACAGAGGAAGGAATCACCCACATCGACAAACCATAGTAATGAGCATAAAATAGAAATATAATGTGCTACCTACGTCCCCTGATAGTTATGTCTCCGACGATTAATAAATTTGAGCATAATGAAAGAAACGGTGCATGACTGAAATTTGCCACATTTGTTGGTGTTAGCGGCTGAGAACAAATCTGTATTGGTCCAAGGAGGGCAGTGATGCAGCCTCAATCTTCATCTAACCGAGTCTGACGATCACTATGACACATCCTAGCGTATATCCTCTTTATAATCATGGTACAATACAGTATCTAATTGACTGACTTATGTACAACAAACACTAAATAGTTCCAAGAAATATGTGGCTACATTTAAGAGTGTCACTTGTTACCTGATGTTCAGCTGACAATGGTTAGGTCAAGGTACAACATCTTACATGTGTGTGTGTGAGAGATTAAGACTTCATCACCACCACAGTACAGAATAATTTGACTTAAAGTTGACAAGTTGTATTACAAGTGTCACCAAGAACTGTAGTGCAGTTATGTAAATGATACAAAAGTATTATATTGCATTAAAATTATAATACTGTGTTCACAAAGTTGCTAAGAGTAAAGTCAATATATAGTACAACACATTATTCAATAACAAAATAATCACAAAGTACTTCTCAGTATATGTTGTACACATACAGTACATCATTGTTGTGCACAAACATCTCATAAAAAATCTTATTACTGTATGTAACAACATATTTCACAATTTAGTACCATTATCAAAATTAAAATCCAAAGTATCCTTATTCTCTCAACTTCATTTTGTCTAACAACCAACACAAGCGTAGAGTGACAGTTGAAGATCCATACAACACATTAATGTTTGTATAGTCAGTCGTATTCTTGACTTTTCTGTGTGTATGTACAGGAAGCCATAGTTGCTTCTCTGCCATGTTTTGTGAAGGGTCATAAGTACAGTTCCCTGCAGCCTTCCTGGTCTGTTCTTGTCATAATTTCCCACAACATCACTATGATTGGGGAAAGCCTTAATCACTCACGTTGTTGCCGCCCACTTTTACTACAACAACATATGAGGAAACGGCCCACCGCAACGGCTCTTAAGGTTCATCACAGTTTGTTGCCATCATAATACCTTCAGTTTGTTGCCATCACAATACCTTCAGTTTGTTGCCATCACAATACCTTCAGTTTGTTGCCATCACAATACCTTCAGTTTGTTGCCATCACAATACCTTTAGTTTGTTGCCATCACAATACCTTCAGTTTGTTGCCATCACAATACCTTCAGTTTGTTGCTATCACAATACCTTCAGTTTATTGCCATTACAATACCTTCAGTTTGTAATAAAATGTTATCAAAATGTCTTCCATTGTTTGTGGCAGTATAATGGTTAACCAGTAAGAGCTTTATTACCTCACTACACACCTGGTGACTCAGGTTATCTGCACCACCACATTTAAGCAAATATTCCCCCCACAATCCTCTATTGTGTCCCTCTTTTAACTCTATTTATAAAAGTTATCAAAATTTAAACTCACAGTTAATATTAGAGGAGTCTTCCCTGCTATTAACATAACAAGCCAAAACATTAAAGGTCCAAAAGTGATGTATATTCCTGAGGGCAGCTTTTCTAAACAAGCAGTATTAAAACCTACAATTTCTTTTTAAATTTGGAAACAGAGATCCTTACTTACATAATTATGAAAACACATGTCACGACTGACTACTTAAGGCAGTTGTTGCAGACCCGAACGGGGTGATCCCAGCCCCGTTCCTTGACTGGCTTAAGGTTCGGAGAACAGCCGTCACACACGCCCTGGCCACACGCCCGGCAGTGATGTAACGCTAGTCTGGTCCCAAATTCTCTCTCGCACACTATGCAGTTTTTAATAATTTCGTCCGGAATCCAATAGGATGGTCGTGTACTGTCCTTAAGAAACTCTGGAAAAAAAAATAGAATATTGATCACCAGACAGAGAAAATTTAAAGTGTGTGTGGTCATTACGACCACCAATGACCTATATTCAGGTTCAGCATGAACTTCGGAAAGAGCAGGGCATCCCAGTGGCCCCCCACCCTCCAGATCTGGTCCCCTGTGACTTCTGGCTGTTTCCGAAGTTCAAGTTGAACCTCGAGGGGAAGAAGATCATGGACAGAACACATCACAGAAGGTGTTCAGCCTCACCAACAAGGACTTCCAGAACTGGGAGGAGGAAATTCAGCACTGTATTGAGGCTTCTGAAGAATATTTTAAGGGTGACTAAGTTTCACTGTAATATCTGAAAAATAAAGATTCTATGAAGCCAGTCCGGGAACTTTTGGATCACACCTCGTATGTGTGTGTGTGTGTGTGTGTGTGCGTGTGTGTGTGTGTAGACACACACACACACACAAAACACACACAAATAAATAATAATGGCAAAATCCTCTCACAAATAATCAGAAACTTAACAAAAATGTATTAAAAATGTGAGTTTACCCTCAAATCAACTCCGTGCTTTGTAATAACTTTAACAACAAAACACGAAGTTGACTTGAGGGAAGACTGTAGCGTACTGTAAGTGGCCAGCACTACAAGACCGTCACATTTTTAATAAATTTGTTTCAGATTATTTGTGAGAGGATTTTCCTATTATTATTTATTTGTATGTGTTTTGTGTGTGTGTCTACACACTCACACATATTTACAATACAGGTCGAGGAAATTACTGTCTCTAGAACAAATGGTTCCCTGTCCCAGCTGCAAAAATGACGGCAACTTTAAAACTACCCTTAAACATTCTTGGGCACATCCAGGGTGTCATCCGCAAATAATCGTGGTCCGCAAATTGTCAGGGCATGATTTAATTAGTGAACCTATGAAATAATTCAAGATACTGTATTTATATTATTTAAAAAGTTAATCATGCTGTGCCTATCAGCTTTAAATCACCTTCATATACATTATCTTAAATATATAGATTATCTTTACAATATAAACAAACTAGTTTTCACTTTACCAAAAAATTTTGTTTGACGTCAAAAAGAGGGTTGGCAAAAATCATTGTTGTTTTTTAAACCCAAAAAACATTGATTTAAAAAGAAAAAACAGTTTTGTTTTTGGTTTTAATGCTGTTATGTTGGTTTTAATAAGTTATATATATTTGTAGCTCTTATTAAAACTTTGTAATATGCTATTAATCATAAACATAATTATTCAGGATGATTCAGCAATTATATACAGTACAGTACAGTATACTCTTTTGAATCTAAAAAAAGTCATTGTGAAAAAGACAAATTTGAGAAAAACAAACTTTGATCAATCACCCAGACTCCTCCTACATGTTTAAAGGCAAAAACTTAGCTTAAGTTCATCTTAATAAAGTTGAAAGTTTTAAAGAATTCCTTTAAGTTCAGTTGGAGAGAGAGAGATGGACAGTGGCAACTTGGCTCCTCAGGACCCATATAATACTGTACATGATCTGAACACATTAGAATCAGAGCCCAGCCATAAACAGTGGCAACTTGGCTCCCTTATAATCAGGATTTAAGATGTGTGCAGCCCTGTAAGACTGCTTATTATAGTTCACATCCGTGTATAGACTGAACAACCACAGAGAAATAACACCCACATTTATTTCACATGTTTCACTTTCTTCCCCATTTACTGTTGCTCTGCTGTTCTTATACAAGGTTTTTACGGCCTTCCTCCCACCCCACAATGCTCTTCTGTTCACCCTATCATTTGCCTTTTCCAAATACATTATAAATAATTAAAACCATCTGTAAGTAATAAAAACCAACAAAAACTAATTAAAACCAATAAAAATGGCTGTGATAAGAACAAATCTATTTGGGGGAGGATTAAACCAAAGTTTAAACCATTGGTTTAAGTTGGTCAACCCCGTACCCCGTACCCATCAGTTGACTTACCTATTGGATATTTTGCCACAGAAGCCAATGTTCCAGAAATGACTTCACTGACTTGTCGAGCGCGTACCGTTCGCTCGTCATTGTTACTATCATAGTCTGCGGAAGGAAGGAAGGAAGGAGGTGGAGAAGTAGCAGCACACAATGAAGAACACATGCAAGTACACACGCACTCACACACGTACACACGCATGCACACAAGTACGTACACACGCACGCAGTTTCAGTGTTACAAATAAATGAACTCAACTTACAAGTATTTTTTTTTATGAGGTTTCAACTACAGTATACACGGATTACCCCGAGGGTTAGGTTACAATTTCTAATTTCAAACTCAAAATTTTCTAAAATTTTATGTCAAGTGCAAACTATAGCATGTTTATATTCAAATCAATCACTATCTTATAAGAATCTCAGTAAAGTAAATTATATTCTCCCAGGTCAGTTCTGTGACATTTTATAAGCAAAAACAAAAACTCACACTGAAGGACATAAATAAATACTTCACTAGACCTTCCGGCACCAGCTGTCAAACACACCCCCCCTCCCTCTTCCCAGCCAGAGTTTGGTGGTTTTAGGCTTACAGTTTTTATCTTATAAAATATCACAGACTAAAGTTTGGAGAATATAATTTGCATTGCCAGAATCCTTGCAAGACAGCGAATAATTTGAATATGAAGCCTGAGATTCAGACTTGTGAATCAGAAGCATTTATGGACAGAATAATGCATCAGCATCTAGTGCTATGAGTTCATGGGTCAGGAGACTTGCTAGGGGAGTGAACACTGTATTTAATAGTGCAAAGGTCCCACTTGGCATAAGTGTTCCTTGGGGCAAGAGGAAAAAATTTATCCAAAGAAACACTTTGTCTCTACGCATAGAACCTAATAATTAGCATAAATTATGCTAATTAGCTCCTAAAAGAAGGCAATTTCTAATTTTTAAACAATTGTGTGCACTCTCAAATAAAAGTTACCAATAATTCGTGTTAATGCAGTGTTTTGGTCTCAGCTGTGGCCTCAGAAAATGCACATTACAGTTTAAATGCCAACATCATATGTTTAATGCATCAAGTGTTTCTTTAATATAGCTAATGGCAACTATCCTGGAATTCACCTTTAAAACACCTCTTATCACACATGATGTACCAGAAATTATTTTCTCAACCCAAAATTAGAATAAATTGATATATCACACGTTTGTAGATCAAATGGTTCACAAGTTGTAAACAACTGTACGCCGACACTCAAGATGGTGGTCAGTGACCATCTTAGATTTGAGGGTAAAAATGGCCGCCAATTGTCAAAATAGCCCCCAAAATGGTTTCCTGACCCTAAAATTAGCCAGGTTCAATTAATCACATGTTTCTAGGTGAAATGGTTTGAAAGTTAGAAATTGCCTTCTTTTACGAGCTAATTAGCATAATTTATGCTAATTATTGGGTTCTATGCATAGAGACAAAGTGTTTCTTTGGATAAATTTATTCCTCTTGCCCCAAGGAACACTTATGCCAAGTGGGACCTTTGCACTATGATATGCAGTAATCACCATTTTTTTAGCCCTTAGCAAGTCTACTAAGAGGCAACAGGACTTTTGTTTGAGACTGTCCAGTACTGAAGGTCCAGCCATGACTTACCTTCTGCTCCTGTGTCCGGGTTATTCCTGGTTTTGTAACAATTTTTGCACACTCTGACAGGTTCGTCACCCCATCCCATTTCGGGCACAGTCATTTTAACATCAGAACAGTTGTCACAGAAACCTTCCCCACACTTGCGACAGTGGTGGATGGTGTCGAGGGGTTCTTGGCACATCTTACAATGCTGCGTTGGAAGAAAGTTTAAAATGTCTTAAAATCGGGATGGTTTAATAAATTGAGTATATCTAATATTGATTATTACTTTACTACACAGAGAATAAGAAATACTTATAAAGAACATAAGCTTACTGTGCATAAGTGATTGGGGGTCCAGTATGCTGGGTTGACCTGGTTTGTCAGCCATGAGGACACAACTTTTGCAGGAGGAGCTGATATTGTTGAGATAGCTGAGCCCAGAGCTGCCACACCTTCCAGTACCTTGTAAAGTTATGACTGTCAATAACCTGAGAGCTACTCGTACTGGATGCCGCTCAACGTCTGGGGTAAACATTGTGTTTTTAAGGGTTTCTGGAGGTCATTGTGTTTGATGATGTCTGGACACTTGGTGTAAACTACAAAAAACAGAAGATGTTAACAAAGTTAACGAGTAAAAGTGTTGTAGTATGGTCAGTAAATTTAGGCTTAACAACTTTGCAATTATATATTAATTTATCCCAGACTGTGATGTGCAAGTCAGTCACATATACAGTACTACAAATGTTCCTCAGACTCACAGTGAGGCAGAATCCCTCTGTACAGAAATGAAGAAGTTCAAGTTCCTTGCTGCTCTCATATTTTGGTATGATATTTTGTTCCATGTAAATGCTGTCAACAAAGAACTACAAGGTGAACCCATAGGATTAGTTAGTGCAGTTCAGAGCTGAGAGAACACTTGCAGATGGTTAAAGGAATATCGACAGAATGGTATTCAAAGCGCTGTAATAGCTGCTAGAGAAAGGATGTTAGAATCAAGAGATAGAAGAAAATGGTCACCTATGAAGCTGATGACCAATCTGTTACAGACGTACAAGAGTTTTTCCGTGTAAACTGCTTTCTTGAGATAATAGAAGTAGCTATTTCATCTCTGTACAGCAGATTAAAGCAACTAAGAAAACATCACAAGATATTTGGATTTACGTATATAATTTTTATCGGTTATCAAAGTCCGAGATAAAAAGTTGTGCCTCAAAGCTAGAAGTCATGCTCACATTTGACAAAGACGGTCACATGCTCACAGAAGAGACAGACACTCTGAAGTCTGTCTTGCCAGTTTCGGCCATTGGAGACCCTCTCAAAATGTCGCAATTTTTTTCTGTTAACACATGATCAGCAAACTTTCCAAAATTTTGGATTGCTCTCAAGATCCTTCTCACTATTCCAGTGACAGTTGCATCAGGTGAAATAAGCTTTTCTAAGCTGAAATTGATAAAGACCTATCAGAGCTCAACCATGTTGCAAGAGCACCTGAATGACCTGGCCATTTTATCTACTGAACATTAAATTACCAGAAACTTGGGTGATCTCATACATGATTTTGCTTCCATTAAATCTTGAAAGGCATTTGTTTGAAAAAAATCCCATCTCCTCTTGAGTGACCATATCATTATTCATTTATATTGTATAAGGTGCATTCAGAAACATTATTTAAAGAATGTAGTTTGTATTTTTCATTAATTGTATTGTTTTTGGGGGAAAAGAGGGTAAAAAACCACACAAAAGATATGAAAAGGTCACACTTGGGAATGCATCTAATTATTATTGCTTTATTTTAATGGTAATTAATGATTCACGATACGATGATTCACCTTAAACTGTAATATTGGAGGACACATGACCGTCGTTATTCGAGGCTTTACTGTAAATATGAAAAAATGTTACATTACACAACCATCACTTCACTTCTCAAACAATAAAAATAAATTATTTCAGGGAGTTGGGTAAACACTGCAATCCAGGAGTTGAGACAGCCCACAGTTATGGACGCGGCTCACACTCACGGTCTGACTGCTGAGATAATACTGTGCATTTATCGTTCTGGTCTTCCCTTCCTATGGGCCTCCAGAGTTGCTAATTAGTTAATTTGATAATACTTGCTACTGTGATGCATCAAAATTTGACACAATTTTGTTGAAAACTTAATTTTCAACTAATTTTTTAAAGTTTGGTGACTTAATTTGCCACCGTGAAGTTGGTCTTATCATGAATATGATGCAAATCGCGTCATCGGGCATGAGAGAATTAAATCATTGGATAATATTATAATTATCCTCTACATCTCTCTCTTAAGAGGAGTGACTGCTGTACAGTACGTACCTGTCTGCCAGCATGTGCTGCCCCTCCTAGGACAGTGCCGGGCCATACATGCTGGAACTCTTCCTTTACCACACACCTGTCAGGAGACTCGTTACCGTACCAGTACTGACGACTCCGGTAGATAATGCCACACTTCTCACACTCCAGCACATAACTGTAGTGGAACACAACCCTGTTATGTCTTATTAATTAGTGGTTTTAATCACTCATACCTTGTCAACACATCAATAAAGACAGTTAACTCTTCAACATGTAACACTTTTCTGTGATAAATATATTGCCAGAGATGTAGCCAATGATTTAAACAGGAGAGAGATAAGCTTCCTCTGGCCTGCTCTCTGCTGCAACATCATAAAATAAAATGATACAAATTATTCCAAAACAAAACTGCTAACAACTCCATTTTCTTCTACTCAGGAAGGTTTATTTCCCCAGACCAGAGATTCCAAGACCCACCATCCCTCTACCTCCCAACACTGTAGCATATGTCCCCTCAGTCACCTTATATACCTGCACTCAGTCACCATACACCTCTACAGTATTGTCTGTCGTGAGAAGTTTTTGTTTTTAGCCATCAAGCTCTTAAGTACACTGCCCGAAGTCCTTCAGTATACAGTCCCACTCTCCTGCCTCACTCTCACATATTCTACAGGAGAAAACATCAACATCACCACACTGCTCTCCCTTCACTACCTCCTCAATTACTTCATTATTCTCAGGAGCTTTTTTCAACATATTATCTACAGTTATTTCCTACTTCACCTACTGTAGTCTTCCAACACGTGATATCTATTATTATGTTCTAAAAAAACGTGGTCATCATGCCCACTTAATCAACACAAGGAATTATTTACCCCGCCCAGGCATATTTAGCGAGGCCCAGCCACGTGTTGTCCTTGGCCGATGATGTCTTGGGGACCACAATTCGTCTCTCCCCGTCACTGTCGCACTTCCGACAGAGGAACACCTGCAATAAGTGAGTGACTGGTTTATTATTAGACATGGGGAGAGGTTGTAACAAATGACATTAGAGTCGGGAACCTGACTAAAGTGACTGTGTAGTACTGTATGAACAGCTGCTACCATTAGCGAACCTACACAAGTGTGGAAAATGGTCATAAAACGATGATGATGACCACACAAGCTGGTCTGGTCTGGTCTGCTGCATCTGCTTAAGGCTTTAGTTTGGACATCAAGATAAAATAGAGCTAAAAATGTATTGCTTTATGACTCAATGTTACTCCCAATCCATTTTCAATGTTTTGGTCACTATAGAGAGCTCATACATAGTCACTGGCTGCTACAATAGCTTCAGACAGTATGTCGAAGAACTTCCCCCACCAAGCTTCACTTAAACTGAATTTAAAACAGTGAATTTATCAGAATTTCCCTAAGTTACCATCAACAGTAGTAGCTCCAAACATAGACGTGACAATAAGTGTATTATTGTCAAACACTTTCATCTTTTCATGCTGAGTCACAGGGAAGGTGAGGGAATACTAAGAGTGCAGGAGACCCAGAGAGCCAGACCAGCCAGTGAAATATAAATCAAGTCAAGAGAGAGTTATATGACCACAATACTTGTCTCATTCTTCACAAATATTCTTCCTTTAATAATGACAATGATTAATGTAACAGTTGACAAAAGAAGAAGTACAAAATTTAAATGAAGAATAATAAATAAAAATAATAACAAGAGGAGACGGCACAAGAAATATGTACATATAGTATAATAATTTAAGAGAAATATGTACATATAGTATAATAATTTAAGACAATGAGTACAATACAATCTTTGGAGCCTCTTTGACAATACTATTAGTTTTAACAGTGGCCATCAGTAGACTTAATAGTCAGCCATGATGTAAAGGAGTATTTCATTGGCCATAAAGTCATCCCAATATCTCACCTTATTCTCAAACTGATGGTGATATTTACACTGGCGCTCGGCCTCGTGATCTATGGAGCCACCGTCGTGGGTCGCGTGGTTCATGAAGAGAGAGCATCGTGCCTGGCAGGCGACACAAACGCTGGTGCAGGTGAAGTACTCGTCCGGGAAGGCCGGCTCGCTGCTCTGAATCTGCCCACTAAATTTTCTGTTTATTGTCTGCAGCAACAAGTGAGGTATTATTATTAGTGTTATAAAAGTTATGTGTGAAGAGATACTTCATATAAACTTTAAAAAATCATAAGCATGAAGGATTATAATAAGGAGGCAGTGAGAGAAGGGCGAACTGTCCACTCTCTTCTATGGTATCAGAAAATTTCATCCATTCTCTGTGTGAGGGTGACGTCCCCACAGTCCGCCCTTATCCACGTTTACGTTACCATTAGTCACGAGGGGTGAAATGGACGTGTGACTCCATAGAAGACGGAAGACAGACATTACTCAAAACACCTAGTGTGCTCTCTTCACTAAATGTGTAGACTTACTTCCAACATGTCGAGGATAATCTTTGGTCGTCGTGGCGACCGCACGCCGTTATTCTGTAGTTCCTCGGTGATGGCTTGTCTCATACGCTTAAAGTCCGTGTCGTTTCCGGTGTTGTGTTCACCAATATAATGTAAACTGTTAAAGCCGTCTATCTTGAGGTTTTGTTTTAAAAAGTTTTCTTTCAACTGTTCCTCTGGGTTGTGGCCGGCCTCTGAAACAAACACATTATACTCACTACCATCTACTGTAAAGCATTATACCGTCAATATACAGTAATATACAGTAATGTCTCCGACAGCCGGAATTGAAATTTTCTCGGAAAATTTGAAAATTTTTCTGAAGGGAACATTTTTTGGAAAATTCAGAGAAAATTTTGGGGATGGGGGATTTTTATTCTGGGTTTGAAAGATGAAAATCAAGGTCATTTTCTGGAAATTATGAGAAAAATTTTCCTTTACCCGGAAAATTCCGGGGACGAGGGATATTTTTACGGGTTCAAGAGATAATGTACTGCAATGCGCAATTTCTGGAATTTCAGAGATAATTTTTCCATTCCTCGGAAAATTCAAGGCATGGGGGATTTTTTTTTTACGGCTTTGAGAGAAGTGTCTCGTCGTGTGGAAATCTCTCATTGTGGGAAGAGCTCTGCACCAACTGTTCAAGCTAACATCACTGTATTGTAAAGTATCACACACAATACCTACAGTAAAGTCCCCATACACCATAAATGAAATATGGATTTGTGAATTAAAGTTGTTTGATAAATGTGTTTCTTCATCAATGTTCGGCCTAACACGGGGCAGAAGCAAGACTACACTACCTTCTTTGAGAACACTGGTGTGGCGGGTGTCGTGGAATATAAACACCGGGGGCCCGAAGATACAGTCGCACTCTGCCTTACGTGCTACGGCCTCCAAGTCAGCACGGAAATACCTGTAACACCAAAAGATACAGTACAGTACAGTATTATGCAGGCATATACAGTTTACAATGTACCTAGACTGTGCAGGTATATACAGTTTACAATGTACCTAGACTGTGCAGGTATATACAGTTTACAATGTACCTAGACTGTGCAGGTATATACAGTTTACACTGTACCTAGACTGTGCAGGTATATACAGTTTACACTGTACCTAGACTGTTGTCTCACCTGCCTCTTCATCAACCCAGAGTCAGAGGCCTCACAGGTATTTACCAATCAATATCTACCTAAAAGATTTTTCCTACTGGTACAGTATGTAAAAATGAGTTATTATATACAACTGTAAGTATAAAAGTCACCGATGTTTAACTCATACATGACACAGGAAGCCAAGTTGAGTGTGTCACCATATCACACCCAGTCCTCTTTACTAGGGTTTAAAAACATATAAAACAATAAATATTAAATCTTACATAACACTTGGGGTCACTCTTTAAAACTGAACCTCGATTTTTTTTTTTAATTTTACCAATATTAATTTCAAGACCAAGAGTTTATTTTACATTTTTGAGAAGAGGAGAAAGAGTTTGTACACTGAGGATGTAAATATGTGATAACAGTAGAAGGTATTAATACTTTACTCATAGTTCGTTACAGTAACTTACTTTGTGTAAGCTCTTGACGCCTCAGCCAAGAACTTGTACATGTCAGTGTTGAGTCTCTCTGAGCGTGTCCGGTATATGATGACATCTGACACTGCAAGTACCTGTCAAGGATAAACCATCATAACTACTGATGTTTGAGTACTGATTTATTATTATATGTTACCAAAATGCCCAGCTACCATGACTACAGATAGAGAATTTTTTTTTTTTTTTTTAAATCTGGATTCCCTGTCATTACCCTGAAGTCTGCAAGGTTGAGGAACATAACTCTAGATAGATATAAATACTTTACTGTATCCTCTTCACCACTGACCATATTTTAGGCACTTGGACAGTCACTAATGTCTCTGTTACGCACTGTTGGCAAGTACTGGGCAAACACCGGCTCCTGAATGTATCTGAACCTGCTCAGTGTTGGTCAAGTCTGGTCTTGTAAGAGTTCACACTCGGTGCCGTCACAACACTCTCTGGCACATTGTTCCAAGAGTTCATATTTCTTACCCCAAAAAGGTTTATTCATACAACTGTCTGTATTTGAGGCTGTGACCCCCAGCAGGGCGGGCATCAGCCAGCTCCAGGTATTGAGTAATGTCCTGAGGTGTTTATAAACTTTTATTGACTCACACCTTGCCTGTCTATAGTATAAACTAGGCAACTAAGTATTAATTATTACTCATATGATCAAAAGATACGTCCTGGAAATTTTGTTTTACCTGTGCATGACCTGTAGAATAGAAGAGGAATATTATGAAGGGGTAATAATGTAGAGGAAGGTACAGCAGTGCAGGAGAAGACAGACTGAGGGCCATGGGGGAGATGCACCACAAAGTGACCCAAAATATCACCTTCATGTACTGTACCAACTAAAGAAGAGAAACACGGCACCAGTTTAAACATCAACAGACCTTGAGCAACAGACGTTTACGCTGTTTGGAGCTGTTACTGATGCCCAACATGCCCTCTGTGTCCAGGACTAGAGCCTTGTTAGCACCATCATAAGCTCCCCACACACCAAGGGTACATGATGACTGGTTTGAACTGGTCCTGTAAATGTTAAACAATAAATAAGAAACATTGTACTGTGTTATCTCAATTGTGATATAATAAAATTGGTTATTATTTACCAAAGATGATACAGACATTTAAAATTGAGGCCAAATCTCCAGGTACTGTACAGTGTCTACAACAGTCTCCTGGACATGTGTGTTGTTACATCAAACATTAAGTGAGAATTTGTTGAATCCTTTTTAATTATCTTTATACTGTTGGTTAGTGACTTAAGATGATAATAACCTCAGGAAAATAAGCCATTTGTAACACAAAAATTCCTTAAGATTTATAATAAAGCTTCCAAGAGAAACATACCACAGTATTATATTTGTTAAAGTATACTGTACAGTATAGGACATATAAATGATTTACATCACAGTGTACAGTACTGCACCATCACAAATGGTGAACTATCTGACTCGCTGACCAACAGACAGTCAACCAACTTATAAGTCTCCATCCAACATAATCTAACCGAACTAATTCTAATCTCACCTAACATAATCTAACCATACCTGATCTAATCTAACCTAACATAATCTAACTCAACCCAACTCAACCCTAACCTAACCCTGCACTTTGAAGATATGTTTCAAAGGCTACTGGTAGTGGACTTACTTGAACACCTCGGCACCCTTGAAGAAGATCTGGTTCATGGTGTAAGACTTGCCCTCCCCAGTGTTGCCAAATATGGATACAACCTTCACCTGCAGGTCCTTATCTCGGGGACAACCCATCTTCTTGAGCAGCTCCTCCGCGTTCTTCACCTACGGAGGACAATAACTCGGTAAATAGGTGGAGTAATGATCTGAGGTTTAATAGGCGTCTAGAAAGTTTTATTAAATTCTCATTCAAAACAAAAGTGTTACCACGCTGACAAGATTTATAACTACAGACAGACACAGACATTGGGTCATGGTATAATCACTCTCTAAGGTGTCTCAGAAAATGTTTACACACTGCATTACAAATTTTGGTGGACATTAGTTAATTCTTGTTTTACAGCACCAACACTGTCCTCATGTGTCGAGGTGCACCACAAGTGTTGGTGTTGTAATACAAATATTCACACGAGCTCCACCGTAGGGCAGCGCGTACAATTTTCCGAGACCAAGTGACATACCATAAAACAATTTCCTTCCACTCCTGTGTAACATAATACAGTATACTGAACACAAACCTGCAACTCTTCTTTTTCATTTATAAGTTTGAAACATTGTTTCTCCGGGGGTCCCAGGTCAACACTACGCAGCTCATTGTTCAGTATGTCTGGGGTGATGTTGCTCTCTGTGGGGTGACAAATACCTTGTTATAATACTACACTATATTACAGTGCACCACCCATCACTGCCACCACCCATCACTGTCACCACCCATCACTGCCACCACCCATCACTACACCCATCACTATTACAGTCACCACCCATCACTGTCACCACCCATCACTGCCACCACCCATCACTGTCACCACCCATCACTGCCACCACCCATCACTGCCACCACCCATCACTGATATTATGATAACTTGATGTATTTCATACTATTTTATGTATGTATAAGTTAGCCATTGTATTACAGCGTAGACTATATCAACTTATATCATCATGTGTGTGTGTGTGTGGTGTATTGTGTGTGTGTGTGTTGTGTTGTGTGTGTTGTGTGTGTTGTGTTGTGTGTGTGTTGTGTGTGAACAGTCAATAACAAATATCAAGTGTAGACTAAACATCATAACGAAGACTTAACTCACAAGACCATCCAAGTACAAAAACAACAACAACAATGACAACATCAAAACAGTGGCAAGAGCCTTGAGACAGAACACAAGACTTACGGAGGGAGGCCAGGGAGTTGAAGGAATGGTCGTACTGGCCATCTGAAGCGTAGGAAGCTAAGGAACTCATGATGGCTGAGCCGGGAGTGGGAGCTGACGAAGGTATTGATAAACCTGTCGGAAAATAACAAAATATATGAGTAAATAATAATAAGATGGAGTTTGTAGCAGCTGTAGTGTGGCCACAAGTATTTACCTGTGATACATATAATAGAACCAGACACATACTGTACCTCACACTATAATACTGTAACCCCCATAGGTGTATAATGTGAACTTACATGAGACTGACGCTCCAGCAGTGTGAGCAAGATGAGAGGGCAGAACAGGAACACCACTCATCCCATAACAATCCCTTATAATGATCTACAAGGACTGTCTACAGCATAATATCTATACTGCAGAGGTTTAACAGATCCATAATATAATGTTGGTGTGGAGCATCAGGCTGTGTTATGTGATTACCACCATCATCTCGGCATCACTGTGAGTAAGAGACCTGAGCTACTCAACTATCGTCCACACTGTGTCCACCCATCTTCACACACACACACACTGTGGTCTGGGTGAACTACTTTACTAACTCATACACTGTAGTTCCATACTACATAAGGCACCAGCTTATGTATTCATATTTCTATCTATAACTGCAAGATCAATTATTTTCACCTATACTTTACCATATGAAATTAAGCTTTTCATTTACCTAAAAATAAAAGTATAGGAGAATAAATAAATAAGGAAAGACAAATAAGATAAAATAAAGATGTTTTGTCTCACTGTTGTGGTGGACAGTTGACTCACTTGCAGGAATCCTGGACAAGCCACCACTGCCTTCTATCCTGAGACTGTGAGCAACTCCGGGACCGCTGGTGCTGTATGGACCCCGGCGGGGTTCCATCGCTACAAACAATGTTGCGTACTCCAAACTGCCCGACCTTCAACACGAACCAAATTATCTTAATTACATAACTGGCATCTAATACCACATTGCCCTCAAACACTCACATATTATTTAAATTATTGTTTTTTATACCAGACTGTAGACAACATGAATCAACCAAACTAAACACAACCCAACAACCGTAGTGGTTAAGTTCACAGGTTGGGGTTAAAGGACCAGGCTGGACATAAGTACTGTTGTAGTGGTTAAGTTCACAGGTTGGGGTTAAAGGACTCAGCTGGACATAAGTACTGTTGTATCTGGTGGCTGGGTCGGCCTATGTATACTGTGCCTAAGGAGAATCAATAATCTCCACCAAAAGATATACTATAATGTAAGTCATTGTAGAATAACTGAAAAAGACACACAACTGATTCTCATATATAAAATTAAAACTGTGTCTTGAAGGAGTTACAGTCACCTCTTGATTTACATGGATTTAATTTGGACATTTTTAAAATAACACTTGAATTAAATAATTACCAATTTTTAAAACAACACAAAGGTTATTTAAATAGAACAGTTTTGAAACAAGCAGAATTGCATCAGGCAGCATAGTACAGTACCTCAATGTTTTCTGACTACTGTATATGAAAAAGGAAAAAGTGACATCACCTGAAGCTGTCATCTCAAAAGCTCCCACTTCTCCTCCCCCATCACCTGGTGACTCCCTCCCCCAGTACCCACCCATCATTCAATGTAAGTCTTAAAACAAATTTTCATTTAAAATCTTTTTTCTTACTTCTGTATTATAGTAACGGTATTAGATTTTCTTCTATTATTGTGTTATTATTATTATTGTTATTATATTATTGTAAATAAAAAAATTGAAGGAAATAGACCAACAAATTACAGTTCTCAGGGAGAGTGTCCCCTAACCCCTGCCATTTCCTTTATTTCTTATGGGATAATTAAGTTTGATCTACACGGCCATTCTCAAGAACGTAACTACGGTGTAAATAGAGCGATGGCTGTATTCTTATCCAGTAACTCTATCACTGTACTTAACAATTACCATACTACTATAAATATTACTGTACATTGTATTAAGAATGGATCACCTGAAGATTAAACACCCCAACTTACTCTACCAGAAGATTAACCTCCATAATGCTAGCCTAACCTAACCAAGGTTTATTCCTGTTAAAATCAGACACAGTTCAGTGATGTCTCTCTCTCTCAATTCTCCACAGCACTGAGGCTTATAACACACTTGCTATTCTTTGGTACAGTAGAGCTTCTCAAATATGCCGTTCATCACTCCACTCTTATATCCACATACAAATCGACTCTCACCATGTATACAAAAAACATTATAGTTTAGTTACAAATAATTCACTCCAATTATTTCAAGATAATACTAATCACTGACACCACCTCTATAAGGCACTGCACAGTAGCTACAGTATTTAGTTCTCTAACGTATACTGTACCTGTAATATCAATGTTATCTATTTTTGGCATTAATGCAAGAATGGAATTACAGCTTAAGTCTGTACTATAGTAGTTACAGTTAACATTCTTATTACAGTACAGTACATACAGTATATCTACCCTGTTTTGTGCTGTAATTCATATGTGTACTGTACCAGCTCCAAATATAATGAGTAGCTACAAATTTTACTGTATTATTTTGTAAACTGTATTTATTTACATTAAAACTTCTAACCTCGAACACTGTCCTTATGTTTACTGCGAGACCGTGAGTTGTTGGTTCATTTACGTGATTATTGGCTTCTTGTCTTGGGGGTTCAAATATCAGCATTGTTTGTACCTGATAATTTATGTTGATGGTCTCAAGGTTTACTGCATCATTAGTTCACACAGTTGGGTTGGTAAGTTCAGTCCCATTTTTCTCTGTGTTTCCAGTGGAGTAAATATCAAGAAAGTTGTGTTCTTTAATATTTTTGCATTTCTTATACAGTATTAAAATTATTAGTCATTTTAAAATGTAGTTAACATATTGATAATATATGTGTGACCATCAGCCGCTTGACTCACCCTCCAGGCGTCAGTTTGGCGTTGTTTACAGAGGAGTGAACATCAATTTTGTTGGTGTCTTGAATATTTTTGCATTTTCACATTAAAATTTTTGGTCATTCTGAAATTTAGTTTACATATTGATAATATATAGCATAGTGCAGTGTTGATTTAAATAAAATAATCTTGAATTACACCTTGTGAACTTAAAATTTTATTGGTGAAATTACTGCATCAAGCATGGGTCTACCCTGGTTGGTGATTTCTCTTCTCCCTTCTCCTCCACCCCCTTTTAATTCCCATCATCATCATCAACCAGGAACCTTCTACATACACACCTCAAAGTAAGTGTACTTTACTGCATTTTGTTTTCACTTTGTATGTACTTTTCTGTGAGCTGGAACCAATTACCCAATATCCCATTAAAACAATGGATTCGGTTAACGAAATTTTCGGTTAACGAACGACTCTGTGGAACGAATTGTGTTCGTTGGGGGCAAAAGTGAGTTATACGTATATGACTGGGATATACTAGTAACACTACTTGTCATCACATATTATGCCTAAACCACAAAATGGGATAAAACTCTCCTTTTGACCCAGACTGTACAAATCTCTATATTTTGGTGAAACTTCTGAAGAAAGACGCTGAATTGCTACAGTTTCAGATATTCTATACAACTACACTGTGAGACCTTCCCATAAGACTTATCTCTTCATATAATCTGTTAGATAGAGGTGTCACATCTAACACAACCTCGATATAACGTACTTTCCTCTCTATGTAGTTCGTTAAATAGAGGTGACACTGTGTTTATCTTATTCATAATGAAATTCACCAAAACTTCAATAAAATGTGATTCAGATGGAGTACTGCGCTGTGATGTGCTGTACGACACTGTGCTGTGCTGTGAACTACTGTGCTATACTGTACTATAATGTGCTATGCTGTGCTGTACTATGCTATGATCTATTGTACTGTGCAGCACATGAGCATCAAAGGGAATGTATATTGGGTAGTTCTTTTCTTCAACACCACAAGACATCACTATACAGTACAAAACTATTCTTAAAAGGAATAATATGAACAACACCATGGCAGCTTCACACAATAACTCACATTTACCTTTCGCTGGAATGTTTGTCAAGTATGAACAAATTTGTACACTAATACTGTACCACTCTTCTTATTACTTCAACTTGATCACCAACTTGATAAACAAATACTTGCATTCTTGGACAACTTAACAGCAAGACTCTCTCACTGCCACTAACTTCATCACCAAAGTCTTCAATTTTCACTCAGTACAAAATCGCCTTTCAGTATTTCACAGAGATAAATCTTAATTCATCTACCATGTGCACAGTTTCTTTATGTTAAAAATTTAAATAAAAATAAAAATATATTGATGTACCAAGGCTCAACCATCATGTACACAACCTGAGTCCAGTTAACAAGTCCCTCTGTGTGACTCAAGAAGATGACCTGACCACTATAAGAAATATCTAGAACAAGGCAGCAACAAATTAGGTACAGTCACTTAACACTCAACTTCACTTTCAAAACTGACACTTATCTTACCACTCACTAAGTCTTATTTTAATCTTCACACTCCAGTTAGTAGTGAGAAAGATTAACCCCAGGCAGAGAGAGAGTGAGAAATATAAAGAATCACATGACATTAATATTTCTCTCATTAAGTATAGTACAATTGTCTTACCACTTACCATATATATCAACCATCAATAGGTAATATAAGAGCCTTGATCAACAGTTTAGTGGTGAATGACAGGCCATTAGAGGTGTATTAGTGCTAAATGACAGGCCATTAGAGGTGTAGTATAAGGAACAAGGACCTAGACACCATTACCCTACGTAGTCAACAATATCGACCTTGAAACTTTTGTCGTCATTCCATCAGACTGTCATGACATGGTGTAATATAACCTTATAAATATTCCCCTTTACAATCATAACCTGGTGTTTAATATAGAGTTATATAGTCCACTAACCTTTTACATAGTGTGTAGTATAGCCAACAGGTGTGAGTCAGGTAAAGAGAAAGGTGTAGAGAGCCTAGAGGTTATGGTGAAAGTCTTGGCTAAACTCTCTCTTATCTTGACTCAGGTTGTGTTTACATTTTCTGGCATCAGCTGGGATGTGTGACGTAATTACCCGCCAAATTTGTTTCTCCTTCATCAGTTTTATTCACTATTTGGTATTGATTTAGTAAAAGAAGTATACATTTAAGTTTATAAGTACAGTATATAAATAATGGAAAACTGTTATTGTTCACCAGTTCCCAATTTGAGTAATAACAGTTTGTGTGTGTCTAACAAACTGGTAAGTGGATAATTGCCTACTACGATAATTGGCCTGACCTCTTTCATTATATTTCATTTCAATTAATGTGTGTTTATAAGTAAGATAATATATAAACAACAAGAAGATACATCAAAACAGTTACTTTCAGGGATCCAGTGTGTGTGTGTGTACTAAATTAATAGTCAGACCTTGAATGAACGTTTCTGTAGGACCCCTACAGTATACCATCACCAGACACTACAGGAAACAATACACGTAATATCTTCATAAGTTTTATACAACCAGAAAGTCTACTCAAATTTGATGATGTATAAATGAATTAATGAAGAGAGTAATGTGATCAATGTTAATATTGGGAACAGCACCTTGTCAAGGGGCCGCACAGGGAGGGGCGGGGGGGCCTTGGAAGGCACTGTAGTGGATCCCTCCCCTACAAACGCTGTATTGGATGTACAATGCAGCTTGGTGCTGGGAAGACAGCATGGTTACAAGCGTTGAGTAGAGAGAGCTGGTTGGTGAGGGTGCTCAGAGGAGGACCAGCTTGTGGGTCGCCATGCTCGCCGCCAGGCAGGAGTGGAGGAGGTGTTGAGAGATGTTGCTTGCTGGTGGCGGTGAGTAGAAAGAGCTAGGTCACCACGAGGTGAGGTCTTATATAGCGGAGGTAGGCGTGGCTTAATAGTTGACCTCAGTCATGTAAGGCGGCGCTGGTTGTTGACCAAGACACTGGGGAATTCGAGGGTCGGCGACAAACGGCATTTGTAAGGGAGGCATCCACTACAAGCCCAAGGATGGGGTGAAGGGTGCACTACATCCAGGGCTCAGCAGAGTACAGTACACGAGTGAGTGGATATCACAGGGCATCGAGGGATGGGTGAGGCCGACTTATGTGAAATAATAGCTACAGGAATTGGGTACTTCTTTAAGGTGAAAGATGAGTACTGTACCATATGCTAATACTCACCTTTATTTAACACAATTGAGAATGTCTGCCTGTATATAAGGGACCAGCATTATGTCGTTGCATTTACTAATGGAGTTAATAAGTTTTTCTCATCATTCATGTCTCATAACACGGAGATGTCCTGCATATTTACACTGTCTTCCCTCCGTATGTCTTCACCTCCCACGTCACACAACACCTTCACCTTTGTTTTAATAACGTTACTCTAACTTTCTCTTGTCGTGCGACAGATCTCAGTTGTTTTGTTTCTCACAAGTCCTCTCACCGTTATTTCATCGCTGTTTGTTGTTTAGTGTTCACAACACTACAACAGAGCTCCAATGTGTTGCTATCATAGACTCAATCCTCTGGCAGGTCTTTATCACGTCAAGAAGCCTGTCTTCGTCGTACAGCAAATACCTTAATACTCGTCACTGTTCATTACATCATAATGAGGCTCTTATTTACATGTGTTACTCACATCCTTATGGAGGAAGATAGTTACGATGCACTGGGTCAGAGGAGACTGGACCTGTACAGTGGGGTCAGCTGAACCTCACACGCCCTGTTGCCAAACACCACAGCAGGTACCGTTTAGTAGACAACGCTGACTTGTTTTGGAAGTTTATGAACGCAGAAAGTTTACAACTGTGCAAGGTAAAATGTTAAGAATGATGACATGATAGAACAGTTTGACAGCTGTAGCTTTCTTGAAAAAGCACCCTAGAAATGTATTTAAAATATAATCATTAAACTGTACCATCTTGGTTACCATACTGTACAGTCACCCAAAAAAGTCCTGTCGCGAACCCCGAGATTCAGACTCGTGAACCAGAAGCAGTAGACACAGATACATTATTCTGCCCATAAATGCTTCGGATTAAAGACTCTGAATCTCGGGGTTCATGACTCGCGACAAGAATTTTTTGGGTGACTGTACATGGAGTGTGAGAGGTAATTATACAGTACACTGAAGGGCTGGGCATGCTTCAGTGCCATACAAGGGTTTTTGTAGTTGAGAATAGAAGTTAGAAAAATTTTCCAGCCAAGTTGATAAATTAATGAAAAAAGAAACGAGTAAGAAGATGCATAAGTAAAAACAAGCATAACTCTGGTTGTCACCATTTCAATATTTGGCCAGTGAAAGTCGCTTCTTTAAGTGTGACGGTCCGCCCAGGGCAGTGTTTACAGTAATCGTGGAGTCCACCTTTTTTGGTACACATGGAGGCAGTGGCCACCATCACACTGCAGACATGGGGCGACTACATGTCACACTTATTAAATATATATATATATATCTCTTCACCTCCCAGCATCAGCCAAGCCATTTACCGCCTCATTCCCCACTCCATAACCTTGTTGTCAACTTAAGAATGTGTTTAAATGTGGCAGTATGACACTACCACTGCCCCCCCCCCCTGGTATCCTATTTTAGAGACAAAACACCAGAAATGTACACTAGCTATACTTGTACTTTAGCCTAATTACTGCAGTGTCCTTAGACTTTAACAGCTTCAAATCAAGAAATACTTAAATTATAAACCGACTTTTTTTATTGCTTGAAGAACTCCTGTGGGCAGCAGCCAAAGCTGTGTTGTGTGTCGGCCAGTTGAGTGTACTGCACAAGGAACCAGGGAGGTGAAGGGTGCTGCAGTGTTAGACAACTCACCCCAAGATACCAACTAGAAGCTTGATGTCCACTAACTTCCTCAGTCATGAATTATACACTTGCTTTCAAATATTCCTAGTAATTCAGTACTGTATTAAGTGATGTTACTGCTACTTTAATGTGTTCACACCTTCACTACAGGGATGTCACTTTTAATACTTCATTCAGTACAAAAGACCTTATACACATGCAAGATGGATAGTAATAGTTACATTAGGTTTGACTCCCACAACAAGTTACAAGGCTAGAGATGTCAGTATCATTGTTACCTCGACATATAATGGAGTGGAACACATGGTTCAGGCACCAATGGTCATAGTTTCTATGAAAAAAATTAAGATTGAAAAATAAAAATGTAATGGTGGATTCTAGTGCGGCGTTTCACCTGCTCATTTGTCCAAGGTTCTGACATTACCATTTGATCTCATCCACTTGCTGCAAATCATCTTGTTCTCTATATTCTCATCACTGTCGACAGTTAAAATCGTGTCATCAGCTGTCTGTCTCATTTGCATTGCAAGTTTACCTTCTCAAAACAAATCACCGTTATCACTTGTACACATCATTAACCTTTACGCCCCGGATGACGTTCCAGAATGCCCGCATCTTTTCCCCACCAGTTTAAATGCCCAGCGTGGGTTATCAGGTTCCAGTGTGACTATTTGCCTGTCACGCTCGGCCACGGGGAAGCTTCCTTAACGTAATTACCAATTTGTTTTGATTTCATTGTTTGTCCATTTTATCATGCTGTATCAAAGTAATATTGTTTAAAGTAGTGTAGTTGTACAGTATTGTAGTGTAGTATTACTGGAAAATAATGCTATGATTATGTTATGAATGTACAGTATTTATTTGTGGAATTATTATTTTATGCAATACTTGCTCTACCAAACACAAAGGCAGCCAATCAGCCTGGTGACCGACTGCGAGTGTGTTGCCAAGCACTTTTTCATTAAAAATAATATATAAAATATTCTAAATTAATTATTTATTGCAAGTATTATCAGTAAATATATGCATTAATAGCCATCCCAGACACAAAGGCTAGCAGAAAATGGCTGCATGGTGACCATGAGCGTCGGCTGTCAAAACGACACTATCCCTTTATCTCCTTCGCCACAGAGAAGTTTCTAGAGGGTCAAAATATAGTTTTTCTTACTTCTTTTTGATTGTTTTGTATAAAATAATTTTTTTTAAAGTTTTGATTTTTTCAATTTACCCCAGCGTGGGGGACACAGCCAGCGGGACCCTAGCCCAAGGCTTGGGTATTAATGAGTCATGTGGCACTCAACAGCTCTGCCTTCTTGATTAAAAAGTGAGACCCACACCAAGCACATGACACTCATGTAAACCCACACCAAGCACATGACACTGTCATGTCTCCAAATTAAGACAGGCTACCCCCACACTGGTCAGGACCACTCTGCCTCAACAGAGTAATCAGATTAAGCTATATCACCTCACTGCTTTACCTCAAGCTGCCTACAACACCTAAAGCACCACCAGAATGGACAAAATCATCTGATACTGCAAAGTGACAATCAAGTCAGTAGCCCAATCCTTTGGAGAGAAATATAACTATAAGGTACAGTTGTTGTAGCACTTGTCAAACCGTCAACATTAATAGAATGAAGTAATGTTTCAATACTGTACAAGAGGAAGGAAAGAAACAGCAGCACAAACTGTGGTCAAACTTTACTTAATCATGTTCCACAACGTGACCCTTTTCTGACACGTAGATACCGTCCAAGAACTTACGGATATCCTTGCACTTAACTGTCGTACTTTGTTGGATGCGTGCAGCTGTAAAGAAACAAAACCGTCTTTATTATATAATGACCCAAACAGGATTACGCAATGTAGCAAATTGCTCTCATAAATCAACAAGTGTATAAAGTAAATTATTCATAATCTATACAGTACTGTACTGTACTGACCTCTACTCCAATAATCCCAGATACTGTACAGTGTAATCTGAACCTTGTCTCACCTTCCATACTCTCTTTAGACAATTGTGTTTTTTTTTTATTAATCACAAAATTAGTTCAATCTGTCTAGCTAATTTACACCACCACCACAATTCATTTAGACCATCTGCAGTAACCTGTTGCAACACTACAGTATAGCTGATAAATTAGGTATTACTCTACCAACAGCAATTCAGGGTCACACACATGTTAGCAAAAAAAAGTTGAAAAAGTGACTCATGTTACATGAATATTTACACCACAATTGTTAACTGGCTCATCCCAATACAGGTATACTGAAATAGATAAATTCCATTGAATGTAATCCTTTTCGTATTCTCAACCCATATAGGGCCCCCCACCAATCTACACATTATATAAATAAAAGATTTAATGCTTTTAAGTAATATCATATACTGTGGGATTTTTTTTAAACCAATTCGGCTTAACATTTAAATGCCAGCCATCATCGGCCAAGCTGTAGGAACACGGACTTGAGGGAAGACTGTCACATTTTTAATAAATTTGTTTCAGATTACCTGTGAGAGGATTTTCCTATTATATTTATTTAAATGTGTAGACACACACACATATTTACAATACAGGTCAAGGAAATTACTGTCTCTAGAACAAATGGTTCCCTGTCCCAGCCGCAAAAATGACGGCAACTTTAAAACTACACTTCGACATTCTTGGGTACATCCAGGGTGTCATCCGCGAATAAGCAAGAACTGCAAAGTAAATATCCGCGAACTTGGGGGGGGGGCTGTACACTATTACTACTCAGAAATATGACTCACTTTACCTGTGCCAAGGCCAGCCACTAGTGAGTTTTTTCAAGGAATAAACCAGTCCGAAGTGCACACAGTAACTTACAAGTAGACGATTGGGAAGAGAGAGTTGGGGGATGATAAAGGGTGTCAAGAGGGAGGTACCGGAGGGGAAGAGGATGGATAATTAGAAGGCAGCCGTGCAAGTGTGTAACTGACCTTCTGGGATATATGGTAGTGGTGGACTAAGTGATGCTGGTAATAACAAATGGATATGTTGGGAGTGTAGTTGTGAGGGAAGCAACACAGCACAACAAACCTCACAAGGACAGCTAGAGACTGAATGACGGACAGCACATGTTGGGGTGCTATGTTTCCCTAGATTCTGTTTATCTTAAAATACAGTAAAACAAAAACAGTATTTGGATGACAGGGTGAGGAGGAAGGTTAAGTTATTTCCATCTTATAAACTACCATGAAATAAGAGAAGACACATGAGCAACTCACCAGTTTGTGACACAGACTCCAGGCAGTTGCCCTCAATAACAAACTCATCCTTTTGTTTCGCAGAGGCAGAGATGGTGACTCCGGGTAACATGTCTACTTTGCGGATGAATTTCTCCCCCAAGAAGTTACGGATCTCAACAGTCTGGTTGTTGTTTGAGATGACGCAGTTGATGGGGAAATGGGCGTACACAGCGCGCATCTTGTACTGGAAACCCTGCATGTGAACAGTCAACACCATTAATTCCCCAGTGATACCAAACAATGAACAGCACTACAGTACCTCCTAATACAGCACTACAGTACCTCCTAAATAAAGATTCTTTAAGTTCTACATTCAGTATAGCTGTCAACCTCATGTGTACTGTATAAAGAGTGAAGTTTAGATCCAAACACAGGTCACATACAAGACCCATTTGCCCTGCCACTACAAACACTTCTCTAAAATGAAGAGTGATTAATTTACAGCACAGTGAGTGACAACCTCTCCACTTATAAAGCATTCTTATGTCTCACCACATCCCTGAATCAAGACAAACACCTTATGTGACAACTATTGGAGAACACTTTTCCTCACTCACAAATAACAAAAAATAAATACTGTACATCTAAACATAAATTATTGTTGTTCCATTATGAAAAAAGTCATGACATCACCACCACCTCGCTCACTTGGGTCAGCCTGATGGAGTACTGTATGCCTCAGTACCAGGACTCATGCACTGTCTTAGTTGTCAAGGCTACTAAATGATTATCCCTTTAACCGCAAATCATGAAGTATACATCTTGATTTTACTATTCTGTCAAAGATGACTGTTAGATCAACAAGTTAAGCTTTGCAACGTGATACTCATTAGGTACAAAATAAATCACTACTGTATTTATCTATAGTACAGTACTGTATTATGATTTTTAGCAGCAGCATAAATTTTTTCATTAATTAGATGATGGATTTGATGGCTACCTCCAGTCATATTTCCTGATAGTTTACCGTTGTACACCTGCACTGTCTAGTTACACTGGAAACTATATGTCTGGTCTATGTACACAGTAAAAAACAGTACCGCACGGATTATGTGCAAAACAATTTGACATCCCTACCCCCTCTCAGTACCATGACAGCCAACCCCTACCCCCTCTCAGTACCATGACAGCCAAGAAGTAGAACAAGAAGCAACATACATCAGTAACGCCGGTGACCATGTTGGCAATGTGGCTGCAGACGGTGCGCACGGCAGCGACCTCCTTGCGGTTTCCGTACCATTTATCCACAGAAACAACGGTGCCCTTCTTCACCTTTTGTGTCTGTAAATGTACAAAATAAGAAAAGGTAATTAACGCCTTCACTACCAGACGCCATTTTTAATATCTTAATCGGCTAACGCCAGTTGACTTTATTCTGCTCTGAGGGAACCGAGGACACAATGGGTTAAGAGAATTTACATAACACTCTACAGTTGTATAACTTTGGGTGTTTCACTCACTGGATATAGTTCATTTGTTTAATATAAATCTCCACAGTACTATATGTGAGCAGCTACTGTACCTTCATGTCCAGCTTCATGTCCTTGAAGGAGCGACGCAGGGTGCCTCTGGGACCCCTTATGGTCACTACACGCTTCTTGACGCTCACTGCTATGGTCTTAGGGATGGTCACCGTCTGGGAGGTGATGATGGTCTTCATCTTGGACTCTGAAAACAACCACATGTAATAAAGTTATCCATGAGACAGTACAGTACACAACAGTATAGTATATTAAAGAACAGTACAGTACCACACAGTAAAGTACAGTACATTACAGAACAGTACACAACAGAGCTACAGTATGTGTACAATTAAAACCATTCTTATAATCAGACTGTAAAGGGTGTGATACCTCTACAATTTATCAGTGCTTCAACACCAAAAATTTTAAAATTACTTATTATTTGTGCTAACGTTATAAATAAATTTTCTCACCGGTTTGGCTATTAAGAAAAGTTTGGGAGAAATTGGATCACAACCGGGAGAGCGGACACGTTGTACAGTACAGGTAGTTGTCTGATTATAACCAGTTGTTGGCGACGTGCTTCCATGGGTGGGATATAACAGGTACTTCCAGCTGTTGTAATGTTCTGTGTACAGTATCAACTTTAATTTGCCTAATTTTCTTAATTGTTTAATGATTCATTTCTGCTAAAGTCAGACACAGTTCTTGCCCAAAAGTTGTGTCCAGTATTTAACACAAGCATCTCCCTCACACTGACAACACAACTAGTGTCATGAGATTGAAAGTATTTGTTGTATATAAAAGATGTCCTTAGCCTAAAATGATAGTTATTTAGTGTCTTGCTAATGAAAACTATAATATTTATAACAGTTAGGTGAGAAACAACTTGGTGGAGGCGGGAACCACACAAATAATTGTTAATATATACTGTATTATGTAACTTGTATTCCTCGTGCATTTTGTCATTTTCTAGAAGTAACCAAACTTAACATCACCACAAGACCCTCCACCCCAGCTCAAAGTACCTCAAGATTAACCAGTATTATTTTAGTTTCCGGTTCATCTAGCGAATCTTAATGTTAGATTAAGTTTTTCTGGTGTGTGTGTGTGTGAGGGGGCAGGGGGGGGGAATAGCACACCTTGGTACAGGTCATCGAAGGTGAAAAAAGAAGAGTAAAAGACTATAGATGTACACCACCAAGAGAGCCGCAACACCAGTTTCTTGAAGAGACAGATATAGTTCCTGGGTTTTGTGGTTAGGTTAGGTTGGTTAATCTTGTGGGAAAAATAAAGCTGGGATGGAGATTGTTATCTTCTACAGAGAAACTTGGTGATAGGGGCGGGTCAAAACCTAACCTAACCTAACCTAACCTAACCTAACCTAACCTAACCTAACCTAACCTAACCTTCACTTCATTTGGTCAACAGCGAAAGACCCTGTATACAAGGGGTCAACTCTCGTCTCTCTTGCCTAAACCCATCCAATATGGGGTGTACCCATTTCACCACCAACACATTTCGTCAACTATTTTCACCCGTTTCATCACCACTTTTTACCAATTTCGTCACCACTTTTTTGCCCATTTCGTCACCACTTGTTTTTACCCATTTCGTCACCTTGTTCATTCCCATCATCATTTCAAGGGCAATACATTCCAGAAAATTCTTACATAATTAATACATCAATATAAAAATAACTGTTACTTGGGATAGAAAATAATCAAAACAACTCGTTTACAAAATTGTACATATTACGAAATTAAGCCTCGGCATAACAATACACTGGATCATGCAAGCATCTGACCAAGACGATTTATTAAACGGAATTAAAAACTAAAAAAGTTATTACTTCTCTAAACAAATTTTTCGAATGGTCTGAAAAATGGCAGATGAGATTCAATGTGGCTAATAAAGTACTTTGGTTCATTCAAAGGAGTGTTAGTTACAAGACTAGCGAGGTCATCCTAAAACTGTATCTTGCGCTTGTGAGACCACACCTGGATTATGCAGTTCAATTCTGGTCACCGTATTACAGAATGGATATAGAATCCTTGGAAAGAATTCAGAGGAGAATGACAAGACTAATCCCGGGCATTAGGAACCTTGAGTACAGAGACAGGTTAAAGAAACTTAACTTGCATTCCCTAGAAAGACGTAGAGTGAGGGGCGACCTGATCTAGGAGTATAAATGGAAGTCAGGGCAAAACAAAGGTGATATAACAAAGGTACTCAAACTATCCAACCAGGAGCGAACTGGTAACTGGTTTCAAATTAGACAAATTTAGATTTAGGCACGAGATAGGTAAACACTGGTTTGGCAATAGAGTAGTGGATGAGTGGAACAAGTTACCAAACATCATCATTAACTCTAACACGCTGGTTAGCTTCACACAAAGGTTGGATGGATGTATGAGTGATAGAGGTTGGGTGTAAACGGGACTGGCCATTATGGGGTAATAGGCCCGATGTAGTTTCCTCCATTCTTATTTAAAGTCACTGGTGAATCATTCCCTCAAGAGAGTTTTGTTTACCACTCCACCATTAGTTATATTATCTCCTTCACAGCCGCCATATTATACTACAGATAATACTCACACATCCGAGATTAACTTACGGTGTTTATTTCTCACTAAGGCTCTCGGATGATATTAATAAACAAGGATATAGTTCACAGGCCAGCACAGCTCCTCACCGCCTGGCAGACCAACACCTCGGGAAAGACCTCTGCAGTGTTTGCTAACTGTTATCATTTATCTTTTCATCATTATTTCTCATATATGGCAATAAAATAACACAGATATTTTATTATATTTAAAATTTTATTATATCTTTAAACTGAACATGCTGTAAGAAGTATTTATAAATAAAAAAGTATAAATAATTGTTGTACTTTTACCAAATGCTTCTCTAGGCTAAATTGACCAAGATATTGTAATTTTTAACATAATAATAAATATATATATATACATATAAATATACATATAATATCCACAGCCTGAGTTAAGGAAGGTCCTGACCAAAGCCCCAGTACCCCCCCCCCTCCCCAATTAAAGTGCAAACTAGGTCAGGTCAAGTTCATAATTGTTAAGGAGCTGTTAGTATGACCTTGCATTAAGGAATCAACCAAAAGGTATTATTGGCTTGATGATTTATGCATGACATATAATCACACCATATACAGTTCTGACATGGGTAGTGAGTGTTTAGAAGTGATAATTGATTCATGTCTTCACTCCACAACCATAGACCGGTGAGCCTGACCAGCATAGTATGTAAAGTACTTGAGAATATTATCAGAGATGCCGCAATGGAACATCTAATACGAAACAACCTTGTAAAAGATTACCAACACGGTTTTATGCCGGGGCGCTCCTGCTTAACACAATTGCTCAAGGTATTGGATATTTGGACCCATATTCTGGAAAGGGCTGGTATTATCGACTATATTTACCTAGATTTTGCCAAGGCTTTCGACAGTGTACCCCATGAAAGGCTGAAAATCAAACTGGAAGGGTACGGAATTCGGGGAAATGTCCTAGCATGGATAGAAGACTTTTACATGACCGCAAGCACTGTGTGGTAATTTATGGCACAAAATCGTCACCTGTACCTGTCACAAGTGGGGTACCACAGGGCAGTGTATTGGGCCCGCTGTTGTTTGTTTGTTTCAAAAATTACATGCCTGACGTTGTACACTCCTCCACACAAATGTTTGCCGATGACGCCAAGTTATTTCGGGAAATTAAGAACCAAGCGGACTGTGAAGAGCTGCAGAAGGACCTCTGTGGGCTCCAGGAATGGTCGAAGAAATGGCTGCTGAGATTCAATGTCACGAAGTGTAAGAGGATGCACCTGCGGCGTACCAACGGTAAGGAGGCGTATCATATGTCCCAACGGGATGAAGAAACTGCACTAGTTGAGACTGTATGTGAGAAGGACCTAGGTGTGTATGTTGACAATGAGCTGAAGTTCTCGGGCCATTGCGAGAAGGTAAATCAGGCAAATAAATTATTGGGTCTTATAAGAAGGTCGTTCAGATATCTAGACAGTCCATCCCTCGTAACGATCTTCAGGAGTGAAGTGCTTCCCCAGCTGGAGTACTGTCACCCCATCTGGTCCCCGAGATATGCTAGGGACTGTCAGTTGGTTGAAAATGTTCAAAGGAGGGCCACCAAACTGGTGCCTGCACTTCGGCACCTCAGCTACTCTGAGAGATTGGAGCGCCTGAGCTTGCCTAGCTTATACTACAGACGGGCAAGGGGGGACCTAGTTGAGGTGTATAAGCATCTCAGGGGGCACTACTCAGTTGAGTGTCCTTACTTGGAGCTGGCGGACGCTCGCCCCACAAGGGGTCACAGCTCAAGATTGAAGAAGCCGCAAGTCCAGAAAACTGTGAGGGCAAACTTTTTTGGAGTGAGGGTTGTGAACTCTTGGAACAATCTACCAGAGAGTGTTGTGACAGCACCGAGTGTGAGCTCTTTCAAGACAAGACTTGACCAACACTGGAGCGGGTTCAGGTACATTCAGGAGCCAGTGCATGCCCAGTACTTGCCAACAGTGCGTGACAGAGACGTGACCGATCGCCCAAGCGGCGAACAAGCCGATCAGTGGCGAAGAGGATAAAAGTAAAACGTAAAAGTATGTCTAAAAGAGAATTTATCTACAAGCTACAATCACTACAATGTAATATACAGCTTTTCCTACAATTACATTCCATTTGGACGATCGTTAGTTTTATGTAATTTTTACCATCTTAGTTAAATGATCAGGTTAAGTTAAGTTAGATTAGGTTATGTTAAATAGCATAAAACAGACGGTTGTCCTGTAGTGGATTCCTCCCCTACAAACGCTTTGTCACTGACTAGCCGACCCCTGAATTCCCCAATGTATGCCTGTGGTCTAGGTCAACCAGCACCGCCTTACATGACTGAGGTCAACTATTAAGCCACGCCTACCTCCGCTATATAAGACCTGACCTCGTGGTGACCTATCTCTTTCTACCTACAGCCACCAGCTACACCTCCTCCTCCGCTCCTGCCTGGCGGCCCTCGCTCCCGCCAGCGACCATGGCAATCCACAAGCTGGTCCTCCTCTGAGCGCCCTCACCAACCAGCTCTCTCTACATCACGCTTGTAACCACGCTGCCTTCCCAGCACCAAGCTGCAGTGTACATCCAATACAACATGTATACAGAGAGCACATTGTGAGTTTCCTTTCTCCAACCGATCCTGAGTGTGAACCAAACATCTCATAACCCTACAGTCCAAGTGGAATGCAATTGTAAGAAAAACCCATGACAAAACCCCTCAATGGGTTAAATGATCATACTCAAGGGGTTAAATTCCATCATTCACCTCTGTACTATTTACCTCGAGCTACAGTTCATCCCCACAACAGTCAAAATCCATTTATTGTAATCTTCTCAAAACATTTTCCATTCTTTCCTCAATGTGTTCTTACATCCATTCATATAAACAGTGTGTGTGTAATAATAATAATAATAATAATAATAATAATAATAATAATAAAAAAAATGAATGGGTTATTGAAAAACATTGCAGCCAGAAGGCTGAAAATATAGTTGCATTATTGGTGAATGGTTCTCTTGATTAACAAATAATATACAAGTAACATAAGTGATACAAATATGATATATGATAACTAGGTGGGGAGAAGGTCATACTACTGTACAGGTCAATTTAACATAGTGACAGTGCAAAAAGGTAAGATTGACTGGGAGTGAATATACTGGTTGATTACGAGTTGTTGATAATTTTTATAATGGTTGGGACTGGGCTGTTCTTATAGCGATCAGTTTGTGCTCGTATGGGCTGGATGCAGTTGTGGTGTCAAACAGCAATTCATGGACGAGGGATCTCGGGTGGTAGTAGGAACCGGTGTCGAGGATGGTGCAGAAGCCACTCACCAAATTTGCAGATGAGGTCGTGGTGATGGTCAGTGAGAGCCGAGAGGGTCAGTGTGTTGAGCACCTTTTTAGTTGACTTTTATTCAGTAAACTTTGTCGGTAATCCTTCGTCAAAAATTGCCTTACTGTTTACCATTGTTTGTATAATGTACTACAGTATACCTACACTGTCTAGGTACATTGTATACCTACACTGTCTAGGTACATTGTATACCTACACTGTCTAGGTACATTGTATACCTACACTGTCTAGGTACATTGTATACCTACACTGTCTAGGTACATTGGTTGTGTACCTGCACTGTCTAGGTACATTGTTTGTATACCTCCACTGTCTAGGTACATTGTATACATGCACTGTCTAGGTACATTGTTTGTATACCTACACTGTCTAGGTACTGTACAGTCAACCAAAGATGCACCGACCCCATCCTTGGTCTCATACTGGCAATTTTACGTGGCAGTACTTCGTAAAGCAAGGCTGTATGTAATGGTGATTGTGATTGGTGGATCTGTTTTTGGCTGTATCACTGTCAGGGTAAATATTAAACATTTCAAAGGTATTATTTTTATAATAATAAACTATTAATTGTTATTATGATCATGAGAAGTTTCCAAATGTTCGTATATTTACTTAAATAATGAAGAAATTATATTAATGAATTTGCAACTCAACTACAACGAGGGCTGCCACAAGTATACTGTACTCACATTATACTTCACATGCTGTACTGGTATTGTAACTATGTGGCAACTCTATTCCATCTAATTATTGCTGCAATCTCATCACGTGCAGCATACTTAATATTGGAAGAACAAATGCTGTCAACCTAGAGAAGTCGACTTGTGAAAGAAACTTAGGAGCACTTGTAAGCCCAGACCTACGGCCTAGAAAACAGTTCGTTAATGTTCGAAATAAGGCAAATAGAGTATAAGGTTTTATATCTAGAAGTGTAAGTAATAAGAGTGCAGAAGTCTTATTGCAACTATATCTTGCGCTAGTCAGGCAGAAAACCTCCATTATGCGGTTCAGTTTTGGTGCCCTTATTATAGAATGGATATCAATTCACTGGAGTCGGTGCAGAGAAGAATGACGAAAATTATTCCGGGACTTAGAAACCTTCCATATGAAGATAGATTAAAGAAACTAAACTTACATTCCCTAGAAAGGCGAAGAGTGCGGGGAGATATGATAGAAGTATTTAAGTGGGTGAAAGGAATCAATAAAGGAGATATAGATAAAGTTCTTATAATATCCGAGCAGGATAGGACTCGGAGCAATGGATTTAAGTTGGATAAGTTTAGGTTTAGGAGGGAGATAGGAAGGAACTGGTTCACAAATAGGGTGGTGGACGAGTGGAACAAGCTTAGCAACTTTGTAGTAAGTGCTGGAACGCTGGATAGATTCATGGATGATAGAGAGTGGTAGTAACTCTCGACAGGAGATGCCATGCACAGGCCAACCGGCCTATTGCAGACTCCTTATTTTCTTATGTTCTGAACTTTTTGAGATAAAATATCATTACCTAGACTACAGTAGTTCAGTAATCAGTAATAGATGGACCACACAGGACACCTTCAGCATAAGGAACCCTAGTGTGAGGTGCAGAAAGGTGACATGTTATTCTACTTTCTTCATTCATGTGCAAACAATCAAAGATACATACATGTCAGTTTATTTAAATATATTTACAGTAAGGCATTTCCTACATTCAGGGCAGGTCAGTACACACAGCAATTTCCTCTCCTATGCAATTCAGTTACTATACATCTGTGCACATTTGTTAAGTGATGCCAAATGACAGGTGTTTAAGTGTTATCTAAGATGTTCAAACTGATTTAGTTATACTGTAATAGGATGATGAATTATCCTGAATGATAAACAAACTAAATTTTATGAATTTAAAATTAAAAAGTGTCAGCCTCTCACAAGAATCTGTCAATATTAATGAAACGAAAGACTTCATAAACACAAAAGTGAATGGTTATAGTACACATTATAACTGGAGTCATTAGGACTGTGCCCCTGGCCTTGTGATCACTTGAGGATGGGAGCCTATCAGCTGATCCCTCGAGGCTAAAGGATCCGACTCATCAAGAGGAAGAGTTTTATCATCATCATTTTACTGCCATTGTCCACACTTGTGCGAGTCAGCTGCAGTTACGCAATGACGACTCTCCAAGTTGCACGATCTCTTGTAGTCTCTCTTGTCAGGTTCCTAACTAAAAACAAGAGAATATTCGAGTTGATAGCAGCAAATTGCCACATTTTGGTGCTTTCTTAAACTTGTGTCAATCAACCGAGATTTTTTTTCCCTAACTGCCTCTGGTTGGGGACAGACCTGGGAGTTCATTTATCTCTTCAGGTGTCCATCCTGGTACTGTACCTTGTGAACAAACAGAACCTTGAGACTCATTGTGTACAAGTATAAACCGACAAGATCTTGGACATGCTGCAGTACTGTACAGTATATTACAGTATAGTACAGTACAGTACAGTACAGTATAATACAGTATAGTACAGTACAGCATAGTATAGTACAGTACAGTATAGTACAATACAGTACAGTACAGTACAGTACAGAATAGTACAGTACAGTACAGGTCTGTCACACACATCCCTTCATTAAATACTAAATATATTCATGAAAACAATTTCATACACAATGATGTCTTCTTAACTTGACAAGATTATTGTCCACAACTTATGAGACAACTGATTATATGTGAGACACCCACTGTATTGTTCATGATATATGAGACACCCTGTACAGTATTGTTCATGATCTATGAGACACCCTGTACAGTATTGTTCATGATCTATGAGACACCCTGTACAGTATTGTTCATGATCTATGAGACACCCTGTACAGTATTGTTCATGATCTATGAGACACCCTGTACAGTATTGTTCATGATCTATGAGACACCCTGTACAGTATTGTTCATGATCTATGAGACACCCTGTACAGTATTGTTCATGATCTATGAGACACCCTGTACAGTATTGTTCATGATCTATGAGACACCCTGTACAGTATTGTTCATGATCTATGAGACACCCTGTACAGTATATTTGTGGCAAAAGTTTTACTGAATACAGTGGTCCCTCTATTAACGAATCACAATTGGTTCCAGAGTCGGTTGTTAACCAAAAATTTTTGTTAACTGAATCTATTATTTCAAGGGATATTGGGGAATTGGTTCCAACTCACAGAAAAAGTAGACAGTACAGTACATACAAAGTACTGTATACCGGTAATAGAATTAACAAAACATTAAATATAAACTAAATACAGTACTGTACTATACAATACAGTATACTGTACAATAAAAAAACCCCAATAGAAGACTGTATTTTAACTTACTCTGAGGTGTGTATGTCGTATTACTGGCAGCTTTGTGTACATATCAAACGGCTGATTGAAGAGGCAGTGATGATGACATGCCATATTCTTTACAGAGTGCATTGGTTCTAAGGCCTTCTTCATGTTTCATAATAATTTCTGCGCTATATATTATCAATATGTTAACTAAATTTCATAATAACCAATAATTTTAATGTAAAAATGCCAAAATATTCACGAGACCAACAAACTGGATGTTCATTCCACTGTAAACAAAGTTAAAGTGAGAAGCGTTGTTGGGTGATTTGAGCAGCTGATGGGCCCACAAAAACTGTTCCCTGTACTGTATATATTATCAATATGTTAACTAAATTTCAGAATGACCGATAATTTTAAAATAAAAAATGCAAAAATAATCAAGAGCAAAACTTTCTTGATATTTACTCCACTGGAAACGAATGTAAACATAGAACCAATTACTGAATTGGCGGACTAGCCGATCAGCTGATGCGCACAACAAAGAGTGTTTCTCGTAAGGCTGTCGTTAATCGAAGTTTTGTTCGTTAATGGAACTGAAAATCCTTATAGAAGCTAATTCGTTAACCAAAATTTCTTTAATTGAACCGTTCGCTAATCGAGGGACCACTGTATATATGTTTTTTCTCTAAAGTTGTTAATAAAAATTCCTGAAATCATTTTCATTTATTTCAGGCTGAGTCAGAGCAGCACAAGGAGAAACCCTCCCCTCCTCCCCAGCTTATTTCAACTGATGATTAATCGCTCTGATGCTAACCTAACCTAACGTAACATACCCTAACCTAATCCAACTGAACCTAACCTAACCTAATCCAACTGAATCTAACCTAACCTAATCCAACTGAATCTAACCTAACCTAACCTAACCCAACTGAATCTAACATAACATAAACAATATCTAACCTTCCCTAACCTAAATTACCCCCCCTCCTCCCCACAGGCAGTGATAGAATGGTTCACTTTCAGGTGACATAAGCTGTGGGGGTTAAGGGTCAAGTGATCAGAGTACTGTACAGAGGCTATGTCCCTCACTCATCATACCTCAAGTATCCATCAACAACTCGCTTCACGTACAGTACAGTACTGCCACAAATAAACGCTGTGTAACAAAGAACAACAATTATTTGATACAGTTCTTCTACAAGAGCTTTACCATTATGATCTATTAAGTTTGTTTAAAGCGATGTTGAGTTATCTGTAGGTGTTTCCTTCTTCTCTCCGTCGCTGGTTCGGCGGGAACGGTAACCTGGGTGCATCCTAGCCCACCATGACCAACGACTCTCTTTGGCTGGATCTGAGATAAATAAACCACATTATACTCAAGTTTTAATCATAAAAGACACAATGTATGACAACACTACGTAGGTGCTAGAATTTTGCTGCCATGAGTCGGGTGCTCAAATTTTACTGGCTATAGTTGGGTCAGCTGCAGTGAATTAATTCTTTTTTTTTTGGGGACATAAATATAGTCAACCTAGTCCGAAAGTGATAAGGTTAGTCAGTTCTGTACTTTACTGTATGTTCCACACTGATACATTTTAACAATTCTTTAACATTACTGTGCTGTTCTATACACTCAACAGCTCTATACAGTATAGTCTCGATTTATGAGGATTTCCTTTACGCGGTTGGTCATTTATGCGGCACCTGGCCAGATGCGGCAATTATTAGTTACGCGGTACATTCCGTCATTTACGTGGGAAGCGCCGCGGGCAGGGTGCGCGCAAGGTCGCCCAGTCATCAAAACATTACCGAGTTCTTCACCCGCCACCCACCACAGCCAGCCCAAGTCAGTGATAGTGAGGATATGGACTTTGAGGGGTTTGACAAAGAGGCCCTGCTAGCCTCTGTGGTGGATATTGATACAGGTGAGGGCCAATAATCTGCCCTCTGCCTCGAAACCGACCCCCCATCCCCGTGTGCCCAGCCATCTCTTCTACTACAACGTAGTTAGTGTCACTTATGTCACTTGTATATTATTTGTAATTCGTGAACCCATTCCCCAAATATGTAACTGTATATTTTCAGCCTTCTTGGCTGCCAAGCTCTTTCAAATCAAACCGTTAATTATTATTATTATTATTTTTATTATTATTATTAAGTGTTAAAAAACCTAATATTATTGATATTTCTCTTAAATATTAATTGTGTGTGCATACCATCATAAAATTAAGATGTTATTTTTACTACAATGTACGTATTGTGTCGGAAAAAGTGGAGTTTGGGGGTCAGCCTGGTCTCTATTTCAATTAATCCCATATGTTCTGTTATTTCGTTTACGCGTTTCTCGTTTTACGCGGACCTCCACGGGTTTAATTGACCGAGTAAACCGAGACTATACTGTACAGTATAAAGTTTTTCATAAACTTTCACAATTCCAACAAATTATAATAATGAGCTCACACTATAACGGAAGCCCCTTCCAAAATTCATTGGGAAAAAATAAAAGATGACAACTTCATAATTCACTTGTAAAACAACACAAAAAAGTTATAAAACATTACAACTCATTAAACATTGAGTCAGTCCCTCCACCATCATCAAGTACTGTAGGCACAATAATGAGCTGTCACTTACCGGCTCTGTGATGCCCTTCTGAGATTTCCCCAGAGCCTGACCCTCCGACCAACCCATCTTCTGCAGCAGTGTGTAGCCCTTGTTGTTCTCTCTCAAGGCTCTGAACAGAGAGAATTAACATGACACAGTATGAAGTTATAATATTTAACTACCAAATTAAATAATGAAGTTATAATACAGTACACTATTTAACTACAGCACCGCACAGCAAAGAGCAAGCAATATCTCCGTTAGCCAGAGTCCCTCAAACCCGGAACTCTACGATCGCCGGAATTTAAATTTTCTTGGTAAATCGTTCCCAAAGCCAGAATTTTCCAGAAAATTCTGGCTTTGGGAACGATTTTCCGAGGGGCACATTTTCCGGAAAATTCCGGGGATGGGGGATTTTTTTTCCTGCTCTGAGAGAGTCGTCTCGTTTCCCAGAAATCTCTCATTCCCGGAAGTGTTCTGCACCAACTGTTCCGACTAATGGAGATATATCACTGTACAGCCACAAGAACCATTAACCATAACAGCTATCTGGTATGACAATAAACATGATCACACATCATGGTACAGTAATGATCATGATCACACATCATGGTACAGTAATGATCATGATCACACATCATGGTACAGTAAAGATCAAACAATATTTATTAAAACAGTAGATTTACCAAAGCAGATTCAGTTAAAGGGTGCTTGTTTTAACCCTTAGGTAATGTACACAGTAAAGGGGAACTTGTTTTAACCCTTAAGTAATGTACACAGTAAAGGGGTGCTTGTTTTAACCCTTAAGTAATGTACACAGTAAAGGGGTGCTTGTTTTAACCCTTAAGTAATGTACACAGTAAAGGGGTGCTTGTTTTAACCCTTAGGTAATGTACACAGTAAAGGGGAACTTGTTTTAACCCTTAAGTAATGTACACAGTAAAGGGGTGCTTGTTTTAACCCTTAGGTTATGTACACAGTAAAGGGGTGCTTGTTTTAACCCTTAGGTTATGTACACAGTAAAGGGGTGCTTGTTTTAATCCTTCCATCTGGATATAAAAGTAAGGATTGTACAGTATATATGTATATAAATTAAAGAATCTGAAACAAATACAATTTACAGAATTTTACAGAACATGAGAACTAAAAGATAAAAGATTGATAGTGAAATAATATATTTATGATGAAAATAATCAACAGATGTAAGGAGGAATTTACTGCTGTCTCAAGAGTTCAGTCGTTATATGTTGAGAACATTGAATTAAACAGTGGAGATAGGAGCACCACAGTGGGCAAGGTACAGTGCTGTACTCACGTGTCAGTGGACGCCACCTCTGTCTTCTCGTATGGATTATCAGAACCAACTTCTTTGAGCCTCCTTAGAGCACGGTCAGTGTACTGTGTGTCTGTGGCGGGTACTTCACCTTGGCTGGTGACTGCATACTTTTTCCTCAGGGCTTTCAACTGTTTCTTTCTGGCCTTTTCCCGAGACTTGGCATCCTTGTAGGACATCACTGACCCTCCTGTTTCTGTTAAAAGTTTGGCTAACATTAACAGGTGGAAATAACAATTGATTACATAAAGTGACAATATTTTGGTAAGGAAATTTTATGTTGGACAAAGTTGTTATTATTTGCAACTGTAGTGTATTGTACTGTAGTATGTTATATAATGTTACAATAACTGTTCCTGTCAACACAGTATATGATTATATAATGTGTGTGTGTGTACTGTACTGGTCAATACTGTACTGTACTGTACTGTACTGTACTGTACTGTACTGTACTGTACTGGACTGTACTGTACTGGTCTATACTGTACTGTACTGTACTGTACTGGTCTATACTGTACTGTACTGGTCTATACTGTACTGGTCTATACTGTACTGTACTGTACTGGTCTATACTGTACTGTACTGTACTGGTCTATATTGTACTGTACTGGCCTGTAATGTACTGTACTGGTCTGGTCTGTACTGTACTGTACTGTACTGGCCTGTAATGTACTGTACTGGTCTGGTCTGTACTGTACTGTGCTGGTCTGGTCTATACTGTACTGTACTGGTCTGTACTGTAATGGTCTATATTGTACTGTACTGGCCTGTACTGTACTGGTCTGTACTGTACATCACTAAGTCCTTTCTTTCTCAGAGGCAGCAATGTGTCATTAACGTAACTCATTAGGTGATCCTTTACATGAAGTTTGTGGAGAAGAATGTGTTGTATAAGTGTAGGATCAGGTTAGGTGATGGTAACTCACTCACTGCATTAAGAGTTAAACCCAACTAGTAAAGTGGTGTAAGTGTACAGTACTGTGGTGACAACACGCTTCACAACTCACGCCAAGTGGTAATAACTATACTAAACATTTTATTTCATAAACAATTAGCAAAATTAGTTAAAAGGATTTCAAATTTGGTTCCAAATCTGACCTATAAAATAAAACTTGAAAGAAACCCCCAACAACTACACTTTCTCTTTACTGACCTGACTGTGTGTGAGAGGGGAGGCTGGAGATGACAAGGCCTGGCTCACACTCATTACAAGTCAGTCTTCCTGGGTGAACGTGACACTTGAGTTTCACAGCACCAAACTGCAGCATCCATCCATGGCCAATCTGTGGTAGTGAAAGGTGAAGTTCTGTACCAAGGTAATATTAACACATAAATTGAAGTACTACATGAAAAATGTATCATATAAAAACAAGATGTTATATCATTACCAGGTGAGACCTATATATGTGTGTGTGTGTGTGTGTGTGTGTGTGTGTGTGTGTGTGTGTGTGTGTGTGTGTGTGTGTGTGTGTGTTTTTATCTGGCATGGTAGTGAACAGGTGCTGGCTCTCTTACTTAACATGCAACACCTGTAGTCCCTTACTTGAAAGGGTTCTAGGGCTCACGTGAGGATTAAGCACCCCAATTTATTTATTTCAGGTGATCATTAAATGCCCTTAACCTAATGCTAACAATCATAATATAACATAACCTAATTTAACCTAATCTAACCTAACCCTACAATGTATTAGAGTGTTTAATCATCAAGTGAAATATGCCCGGAGAATGGTGACATAAACATGTCATCAATAATTCCTTAAAACCACAATAAAGTTGTTGTTTTTTACCTCCACTTCCCGGCTGGTCTCACGTGGGTCACTGAGGCGAACACCGTTGACAAAAGTGCCATTGTTACTGCCTAGATCCTTGATGAAGTAGTGGTGATCATCAGGGCCATTTGATCTGTAGCTAATTTCTGCATGAACCTTCAATACAGGGAAGAGAAAGTGATTATCTATTGCTGGACTACACTATGTACGTACACAGATTACGGTAAGTTCCACACACACACATACTGGACTACACTATGTACGTACACAGATTACGGTAAGTTCCACACACACACATACTGGACTACACTATGTACGTACACAGATTACGGTAAGTTCCACACAAACACATACTGGACTACACTATGTACGTACACAGATTACTCTGGCTAATATTCATAAATCAGATGCATATTAAAGAGATTTTTCGTTTATGATGACTTCAACCTTTGAGGATGATGACTTAACTCCTTGAGGATGATGCCTAACCCCTGATTCATCATACTTACAAGCAAAAGGCTCATCAAAGAAACAGGAGAAAACTAGATACTGTATAACAAAAAATTATATCATAAGGCCACAATTTCCTCCCCAGGCAACTTCAGATAGAAGACTTACATTTTACTGGAACATCATAATACAAGTAGATAAAAACACCTAAAAGTTTATTGGTTTAGTACAGGTGTAAGAGTATTGGTTTAGTACAGGTGTAGGAGTATTGGTTTAGTACAGGTGTAGGAGTATTGGTTTAGTACAGGTGTAGGAGTATTGGTTTAGTACAGGTGTAGGAGTATTGGTTTAGTACAGGTGTAGGAGTATTGGTTTAGTACAGGTGTAGGAGTATTGGTTTAGTACAGGTGTAGGAGTACAGGTGTAGGAGTATTGGTTTAGTACAGTATAAATGTGTAGTGTACGATGTGTTACCTTACTGATGCTGATGTCTGAGAGCTGCACTATGTTACGTGCTTCCCTGCCGACTGTACCACCGTCCAGTGTGACCAGGTGTAGGCTGGCCACCTTGATCCTCTCGCACTCACTCTCCACCACCATCAGTCGCAGAGAAGGTGGAACACGGGCTGATGCTTCTGTTAAAATACAAGGATACTCACTGTACTGTACTGTATCTTGAGAGAATACATACCAATGCCATAGTGATGGATTGTACAGTATAGTACATGTGGTATTGTAACAGTACAGTATAGTACATGTGGTATTGTAACAGTACAGTATAGTACATGTGGTATTGTAACAGTACAGTATAGTACATGTGGTATTGTAACAGTACAGTATAGTACTTGTGGTATTGTAACAGTACAGTATAGTACATGTGGTATTGTAACAGTACAGTATAGTACATGTGGTATTGTAACAGTACAGTATAGTACTTGTGGTATTGTAACAGCTTAATTCTTGTAATAACATTAACTTAGTGATAATTGAGACAGTCAGGCCATCAGGTACTAACTGTGGCTAACTCAGTCAAGTGTGGACAGTAGCTGATGATGATGATATTAGTAATAATAATGATGATGATGATGATGATGATATTAGTAATAATGATGATGATGATGATACAACCTTACTATTTATTTCTCCTAAGTTATTTTCATCATGACTTAGACGGCGAAGGTTCATTATTGAGCAAAAGTTGATTGTTTAATTTGATTGGAAATACTCGAGAGTAATATTCTGTACACAAACTAGAGTGGTGTTAAAATGTCCTCCTCACTACCTACCTTCCAGTTCACTACATTCCTCTCTTATCTCAGCCTCTTCATCTAATTCTATATCTTCTTCCTCACTGTTTATCATCTGTGTTTCCTCTCTTCCTCCTCCTTCTTCATCACTGTCCGTACATTCTCCCTCCTCTCTGTCTGCCAGCTCAGCGTCTTTCACTCTGGGTAATTTTTTCTTTTTGTCCTGAAAGCCATAAAAATCTTGTACTTTATTTACTATCATATAACACCGTGACCTAACCACAGATAAACACATGTACTACAGGGTTGTGATGAATAACCTCAAAACTAGACACACCAACTTATTTCACCTGATGATTATTGTACGTACTGTATGCTCGATTGCTACTGATACCTGGCAGTTAGCTTAGGTTATGTTTGGTTAGATTAGGTTAGGTTATGTTAGGGTAGGTTATGCAACAATACTTTGTTTGGTTTGGTTAAATAACGTTAGGCTGGGTCACGTTAATTTATGTTACATTACGTTAGGTTCGGTTAAGTGAGGTTACGTTAGGTTTGGTTCAGTTGGATTATATTAGGTTAAATTACATTAGATTGCTATATTAGGTTAGGTTAGCATTCTGGTGTTTAATCTTAAGGTGAGACAAGCTGGGGGATTAGTCTTCACGTGATATCTGTTTTGCAAGATTTATACAGGCTCTGAAGACGCTGTCCATAACGCAAGATTTATACAGGCTCTGAAGACGCCGCCCATAACGCAAGATTTATACAGGCTCTGAAGACGCCGCCCATAACGCAAGATTTATACAGGCTCTGAAGAAGCCGTCCATAATGCAAGATTTATACAGGCTCTGAAGACGCCGTCCATAACGCAAGATTTATACAGGCTCTGAAGACGCCGTCCATAACTCAAGATTTATACAGGCTCTGAAGACGCCGTCCATAACCAATATCATTAAAACTAGATAAACCCGACATAGAGTGAATCAGGTTAAGTGAGAAGTACAGTACTGTACAGTATTACCCAACGGTCGAGTTATTTGTTTTTTCTACCATTCATTAATACACATAGCCATCACACATACTGTACTGCATATAACAACACATGAACACAGTATCAATACTGTCTCATCACTAATGGTGAAAGATGTCAAGATTTGTGGCCAACACTTGAGATCTTTTAACCCTCGGAAAACAACAGCTCTGGGGGGAGGAGGTTCTCGAAGTGTGTGTCTCTACAGTGTCAACCTTCACATTCAGAAGCACACAAACAAGATAATACTGACTGCCTGACTCACACCAGTGGCTGTCAACATACAGTAATAAATCACATCCACCAGCGATGACAGCTCATGATGATGGCCTGACCTACCATACACTCTCCTCTACAGAGGTGTTATAGCTCAAATAATGTTAGCAACAAAGGATGATAACTTAGCACAAAATCATCATCATCATCATGACAGTAAGAGATGAAAAAGTACAGTACATCACTACCCTACCTATCACATGATGCTTCACGTCACGCAGGTTCATTTGTGCAAAGTTCTCCCATAGATCTTTCACCTGGGAAAACAAATGGTATTTACCTCACCCTATTTTAACTAACAGTCAACACAGTACAATACAGAACTACATTATATTATCACATGTCTTCAGTTTCAATTAATCCCATATGTTCTGTTATTTCATTTACGCGTTTCTCGTTTTACGCGGTGCTGCACGGGTTCAATTGACCGAGTAAATGCAGACTATACAGTACAGTACAGTACAGTACAGTACAGTATAGTACAGTACAGTTCAATACAGTACAGTACAGTACAGTACAGCACAGTACAGTACAGTACAGTTCAGTTCAATACAGTACAGTACAGTACAGTATAGTACAGTACAGTATAGTATAGTACAATACAGTACAGTACAGTACAGTACAGTACAATACAGTACAGTACAGTACAGTACAGTTCAATACAGTACAGTACAGTACAGTACAGTACAGTATAGTACAGTACAGTACAGTACAGTACAGTACAGTACAGTACAGTACAGTACAGTACAGTACAGTACAGTACAGTACAGTTCAATACAGTACAGTACAGTACAGTACAGTACAGTACAGTACAGTACAGTTCAATACAGTACAGTACAGTACAGTACAGTACAGTACAGTACAGTACAGTAATCGTAGACCTTAAACAACACAAAATACCACAAAAATCAAAGAGAAAAGTGTCCAAAATATCGCACCTGGTGGATATCCTTTTCCTCTCCTTCACTCTTCTCCAGTCTTCTCTTGCCTTGTCTCTTAAGAGGAACCTGAGAGTGGAACTGGTAGGCCTGGCTGGCGTGGTCATAGTAGAAGTATGTTCCAGTCTTGCTGTCGTAGTACAAGCCATTCTCCTGTATGTGAGGTGAGAAGAAAACAAACAATGTACTATGTAAGATGTTTGTGGCTTAAGGGGTGAGATAAAAGGGTTCTCATGAAGAATGGGAACCCCCTGTTATTACACCTAATGATGGGAGGGGTTAGGTCAGGTCAGGTCAGGTTAGGTTAGGTTTATGGTAGGTTAGGTCAGGTTAGGTTAGGTACTACACTCCGACAACTTGAGTCTTCAACTCTTTGGCTGCTGGATGAAATCGTCTGATGGCAGCGAGAATGAAAGTTGCAGGAAGTGTAGTGACAGGGTTAAGGGCATAACAAGACTACTGGTAGTCCATCAACAATTAGAGATTATGTAACTATCTAGTGTATTCTAGATCTAATGAATATAAATAACTTAAGTCAAAATGTGTCTGGGAGAGGAGTCATGGCAGCTACAGCTTCATGCATCTTGATGGTCAATAATTGTTGACGTCTGAGAGCAAGAGTGGCAGTACAGTGTGTTGTGGTATGAAATATTTTTTTATCTTATTATAATAAAAAATTGCAATGCAGTATTTTTCCCCAGTACAGTAAAGTACTTTTTCCTTAACCTTTTCTGTGTCAACCGCTGAGAGGAAGACTAATGATCACAGACGGGGATCAGCCCACCCGGGCCCTGGTCAATGACCCACACCAAGGCCTGGGGGGGGGGGGGTATTATTACAATAATAATAAAAAATAAAAAAATAAATAGAAAAAAAATTAATAATACTGTAATAATAAAAAAACACATAATAATAATGAAACAAATAAATGCAAAAATTAAAATAGGATCAATAGTGAGAAACAATATACCCTGTATGTTGTGTTGTGTTGCTAAAGTAAGAAACAATTGAGACCCAACAATTGTGTGTAAATGAGGCAGAAAGTCAGATCATCAACCTGGGAGCAGAGCAGCAGAGTCTACCATTAGACAACACATTATGCTTCCAATATCTTCCTGTTTAATAGCTGCCTACTACCTAACCTAACCTGACCTAACATAACCTAACTACAAATATTAACATACAGTAACCTAACCATCAAGTGAAATATGCTGTAGGGGTTAGGTAAAGTTAGGTTAGGTTAGCACTAAGGGGTTTAAGTGAACCTTCAGCTGATCATTCCTACTACACTGGTGAGGTACTCACAGCGTCGTAGTAATACCCGGAGGAGTAGTCAAAATAGAGTCCCAGTTCCTCTTGAAAGACGTAACCAGTGCCCTGTATGGCCTCGGCAGCAGCGGCCTTCACCTGCTCCGTCACACTCATCCCTCCTGATGCATCCCACGCGTAGTTCTCGTCCACATTTATGACGTCTTTCATTAACGTGTTGTCGTCCTTCGCTTCTGGCGTATAATGTTCGTAGTTGGTCTTACTATCAATACTTAACTTATCTAACTCAAAACTCTTTGGCATTTTAGTTTTTTGGGGCATTTCTGAACTTTCCGTCCGTTTGTTTGTTAAGGTAATTGTTGAGATAGTGTCACCTTTACGCTCGTCATCGCACGTGTCTAATTTCTTTACCGAGTCTTCGGGTAATCTCGAATCTCCTGGAGTTTTATCTAAGTGTTCCGGGTTTGATCTTTTCTTCTTCTTCGACACACTTTGTTTACTACAGTCGGTCACGTCGACCTTACTTTCCAAACTTTGCTCTCTGGCGTCTGTTTGTGCCGCCTTATGTTCCTGGCAGTCCCCACTCCTGGGCGACACTTGAACGTCATCGCCACGCCCTCCGTCCCCGTTTTCTTTGCTGTCGTGGATTTTATCTCTCTCGTCTGTACCGTTCCCCCGGGATACAGAAGCTTCCTCTGCCTTAACTTGCGGTGCGGAGGAAACCGTAGTCTGTTTAGCATAGTGCCCGGGCCAGTAGTGAGCGCTGGAAGGGTCGTGCTCACCGTAATACTGATTCCAGGATCCACAATACCATTTCTTCCAGGCTTGGGCGAAGTCTTCCTCTGTGGTCTGGCTGTACTCCTCCGTCCTGTTATGTTTGTTCTTCTTCACCTGTTGCTTAAGGTCCCAGATCTGTAATGTGAACAGTAAAAACACAATTACAGTCTTCATTTTGTATGTACCTATACTGTACAATTATTATCTAGTAACAATAATTATCTAGTGAACTAACATCTTACCTAAGGCTTGGGTTGGGTTGAGATATTTGAAACATGAAGCCGGAGGAACACAGAAACAACTTAATCAACTGGACACAATATAAAATAAAAGTCAACATACTTTTCTCTGACTCTGCCTTCATTATAACAAGAAAAAATCAAAGGGGTAAAAAAAAAAAAATACTGAACCATACCTTCAGCTTAAGGTAGTCAATATCTTGCTCGAGTGTGCGTCCTTTTGACACAAGATCCAACAGTTTTGAGTTGAGCGTGTCGATCATGGAGTCACGCAGACTGAGCTGAGACACGAGCAGGACTGGCCAGTCATCAAGGGACGGGTCGAGGTTCTGAAGGAACTCTACAGACATAAAACCAATTTCTACTTGCATTGTTGCCAGGTCAAAAGAGTATTCCTTAAATTCACTAGAGTCGAGGAGGTGAATGGCAGTCTGGGTGGCTCTGCTCGAAGATGGCGGCTTCTTTTTATATTTCTTTTTTATTTTCTGGCAATAATCTGATTCCTCAAGATCATCTGCTCTATTGCACTTATCTTCAAGCGTAGGAGGCACAGTCCCCTGATCTCCACCCAGGCAGGTAAACCTCTGCTCTCGGTTGTTGTCCAGTTGAGTCGACTCATCTACCTGTGCTGCAAGTGTGTGTACGTCGTCCACACCACAACCAACACTGTCATCCTCCATACTCTCACACACTGCTGCCCTCACAATGTTTACTGCACGTATTAGAGGCACATCAGTATCAACGTGGCCAGACACATCTCCACTTCCTGCCAGTTCTTTCTCGGCTTCTGTCGTCTTCGGTGACTCTTTCTCTGCGGCATTATCACTGGAATCGTCTTGTTCATTTTTTAAGAGATTTTCTTTCAAACTTTGTACCTGAACTATTGGAGACAAACTTTCCAACATCTCACTGTGTATCTGACCAGCTTGCCTTGTGTCTGAGTCAGCAACTACCAGCTCTGACATGTTGTCTAGATCACAGCTGGTAATAGTAGCAGTCATGGTTTGTTTGTTCTCTAAGTTAGGTTCTTCTGTCACTATTTCTTTATGTGTTGTAGCGGAACTTTCCAAACACTGTTCATCTTCATCACCATCTGAGTCTTCTCTCTCTAACAAAACAGTATTTAACTTGTTTCCTCCTGCTCCTTCCCTGCCTTCATCTTCCATTGTAAACACAGTGAGTCCATCAACATGAGAGGGTGGCGCTCCCTGGCCAGTGTCTGAGGGTGGTGATCCCTGGTAAGTGTCTGAGGGTGGCGCTCCCTGGTAAGTGTCTGAGGGTGCTGCTCCCTGGCCAGTGTCTGAGGGTGCTGCTCCCTGGCCAGTGTCTGAGGGTGGTGCTCCCTGGCCAGTGTCTGAGGGTGGTGCTCCCTGGCCAGTGTCTGAGGGTGGTGCTCCCTGGTCAATGCCTGAGGGTGTCCTGGTCAGTGCCTGAGGGTGGTGCTCCCTGGCCAGTGTCTGAGGGTGCTGCTCCCTGGCCAGTGTCTGGGGTGCTGCTCCCTGGCCAGTGTCTGAGGGTGCTGCTCCCTGGCCAGTGTCTGAGTGGAGGGCTGCTCCCTGTAAGGGTGCTAGTGCCTGAGGTGGTGCTCCCTGGTCAGTGTCTGAGGGTGGTGCTCCTGGCCAGTGTCTGGAGGTGGTGATCCCTGGTAAGTGTCTGAGGGTGGTACTCCCTGGTCAGTGTCTGAGGGTGGTGCTCCCTGGCCAGTGTCTGAGGGCTGCTCCCTGGCCAGTGTCTGAGGGTGCTGCTCCCTGGCCAGTGTCTGAGGGTGGTGATCCCTGGTAAGTGTCTGAGGGTACTGCCCCTGGTCAGTGCCTGAGGGTGGTGCCCTGGCCAGTGTCTGAGGGTGCTGCTCCTGGCCAGTGTCTGAGGGTGGTGATCCCTGGTAAGTGTCTGAGGGTACTGCCCTGGTCAGTGCCTGAGGGTGCTCCCTGGCCAGTGTCTGAGGGTGCTGCTCCCTGGCCAGTGTCTGAGGGTGGTGATCCCTGGTAAGTGTCTGAGGGTACTGCTCCCTGGTCAGTGCCTGAGGGTGCTGCCCCTGGCCAGTGTCTGAGGGTGCTGCCCCTGGCCAGTGTCTGAGGGTGCTGCCCCTGGTCAGTGCCTGAGGGTGGTGCTCCCCTGGCCAGTGTCTGAGGGTGCTGCTCCCTGGCCAGTGTCTGAGGGTGGTGCTCCCTGGTCAGTGTCTGAGGGTGGTGCTCCCTGGTCAATGTCTGAGGGTGCTGCCCTGGTCAGTGTCTGAGGGTGGTGCCCATGGCCAGTGTCTGAGGGTGGTGCTCCTGGTCAGTGTCTGAGGGTGCTGCCCCTGGCCAGTGTCTGAGGGTGGTGCTCCCTGGTAAGGTCTGAGGGTGCTGCTCCCTGGCCAGTGCCTGAGGGTGGTGCTCCCTGGTCAGTGCCTGAGGGTGGTGCTCCCCTGGTCAGTGCCTGAGGGTGGTAGGTCAGTGCCTGAGTGCCTGTGGTGCCCTGTGCCTGAGGGTGGTGTGCCTCCCTGGTCAGTGCCTGAGGGTGGTGCTCCCCTGGCCAGTGCCTGAGGGTGGTACTCCCTGGTCAGTGCCTGAGGGTGGTGCCCCTGGCCAGTGCCTGAGGGTGGTACTCCTGGTCAGTGCCTGAGGGTGGTGCCCTGGCCAGTGCCTGAGGGTGGTACTCCCTGGTCAGTGCCTGAGGGTGGTGCTCCCTGGTCAGTGCCTGAGGGTGGTACTCCTGGTCAGTGTCTGAGGGTGGTGCTCCTGGTCAGTGCCTGAGGGTGGTACTCCCTTGGTCAGTGCCTGAGGGTGGTGCTCCCTGGCCAGTGCCTGAGGGTGGTACTCCCTGGTCAGTGCCTGCTCCCTGGTCGTCCACTACAGGTGCCTCAACAGAGCCATCTTGCACCTCTTGGTAAGAAGCTTTGGTCTCATAATGATAACTTTGTGGGCTCTTCTCTTGTACACACGATTGGTTCACATCTTCATCAAGGGTAAGTGAAGTGTGATCGTCGTCTTCCTCCTCAACTACTTGCTCTGGATTGTCCTCACCACAATCCATGTTTTACAATAGTTTTTATGGCCAGGTTGGATCAATGACTCACGGCACACAACCGCTGTAAAGAAACAACACATGATAACAACATATTTGTAGCTGTAAGGAAACCAATTATAATCTCTCCCTCTACTGTACAGTCCTGGACACACAGACAGCCAAATATGACCAACACTCAGTATGTGGGAGTCTGTACAATTCCTTCATCTTTCAGAAATTCATTCATATCATTTTTGGTGAAATTTGCAACTTTACAAATTAAATCTTGTTGAGGTAGAGAGTATCCACAGAGGTGGTGATGGATACAGTCAGTGAGGGTATAACTGGACAGTATAACAAGATATATGATTATAAACAGTTGTGAGAGATACTGTTCCCTCACCATCAAAGTCAGCAAACATCATTTATTTGTTTGTGATTGTGATACAGTACTGTGATAGTTTTACATGAAGGTAAAAGTCTTATATATTCTTATAACTACTGCACTGTAGTGTACTCCCTATGATCAACACTCAAGATAGTACAGTACAGTACAGCACAGTACAGTACACCCAAAATAACACAACACAAAAGTGTCCATCAAAGAATCATATATGGTGTGTAATTAGCATTGAAAAACTAACTTAAATTTCCCAAGCATTATTAGGATAAGTAATTACCCAAATACTGTATAACTACATTCTATATTAATTTCCTATTTTTAACACACACACACACACACACACACACACACACACACACACACACACCTGTACTGTACTTCCCTGGAGATATGAGCACTAATCAAATCTGGAATCACCTGAAGATGAACCACCTTAATACTGTACTATGAGGTGGCCAAGTTAGGTTAGGTTAGGATTAAGTTAGGTTCGGTTAGGATTACACAAGAACATAAGAACATAAGAATGGAGGAAATTGCAGCGGGCCTATTGGCTCATACTGGGCAGTCCCATTTACACCCAACCCCTATTGCTCATATATCCGTCCAACCTATGTTTGAAGCTATCCAGAGTATTCGAGTTAATGATGATATTTGGTAACTTGTTACACTACTCTATTTCCAAACCAATGTTTACCTATTTCGCGCCTAAATCTAAATTTGTCTAATTTAAAACCAGTTGCGAGTTCGCTCCTGGTTGGATAGTTTAAGTACCTTTGTAATGTCACCTTTGTTTAGCCCCGACTTCCATTTATACACCTCTATCATATCGCCCCTCACTCTACGTCTCTCGAGGGAGTGCAAATTAAGATGCTTTAACCTGTCTCTGTACTCAAGGTTCCTAATGCCTGGGATTAGTCTTGTCATTCTCCTCTGACTTCTTTCCAAGGATTCTATATCCATTCTGTAATACGGTGACCAGAACTGAACTGCGTAATACAAGTGAGGTCTCACAAGCGCAAGATATAATTTTAGGATGACCTCGCTAGTCTTGTAACTAACACTCCTTTGAATGAACCCAAGTACTTTATTAGCCTTGTTTCGAGCAAATACACATTGTTTACTTGGCTTAAGATTCCTACTTATCATTACTCCTAAATCTTTCTTATAGTCGGATTTCTCAATAACATCGTTGTTCATCTGGTATCTGGTTTCCCTGTTTACATCTTCTATACTGAGTACTTTACATTTGTCCACATTGAATTTCATCTGCCATTTCTTAGACCATTCGAAAAATTTGTTTAGATCTTTCTGTAGTTTTGTGGAGTCCTCGTCAGATTTAATAATACGTCCTATTTTAGTGTCATCAGCAAATTTACTAAAGTTGCTGTCTATGCCGATATTCATGTCGTTTATGTATACAGGTACTCCCCGACTTACGTCCACCCGCACTTACGACCTGCCTCAGTCGTACCAAAATGTGGTCAAATTATGTATTATTGAGTCCCAAAGTCAGTACACAGACAAAATTTTCATCTGTAATTCACTTTAAAATGGCTGGCAAGCTTAAAAGTGAGTGTTTTGAGGTGCTGACAAGAAAAAGAGACCCAAATTTTCGATTTTCTGTGTTATTTAAGCATTTCCGACTTAAGACCTGGATGTCGGTCCCTAACCCCGTCGTAAGTCGGGGAGTACCTGTATAATAAATAATAATGGTCCAAGTACTGAGCCTTGGGGAACTCCACTAGTGACGTTGCTCCGATGGAACTTAGTGCCGTTAATGCTCACTCACTGTTTCCTGTCCTGTAACCACGCCCTAATCCATTTTAGAATATCTCCTTTAATGCCATGAGCCTCCACTTTTCTTATTAATCTTTCGTGGAGGACTCTGTCGAAGGCTTTGCTAAAGTCAAGATATACCACATCATAATTGTGCCCCTCGTCCACCGATTCGAAAACAGATGAAAAGAATGTTAATAAATTAGTTAGACATGAACGCCCACTTCTGAAACCATGTTGGGAATCATTGATCAACTTGTGCTTCTCCAGGTGATTTCGAATTGTTTGAAATGATTGCTTTCAGTAATATGCCTACAATTGATGTTAGACTAATTGAATGGTAGTTAGAGGATAGTGATCTATCTCCCTTCTTGAAAATCTCGGTCTTACATTTGCTATCCTCCGGGATTCTGGTACTGCACCCGCTTTTAATGACATGTTAAACAACTTTGCTAAGGGCATATTAAGCTCTTCCTTACATTCCTTTAATACTCTGGCAAATATCTCATCAGGACTTGGTGACTTATTAGGCTTTAGTTTGCCTATTTGCTTACTAACATCGTTACTAGTCACTACTATCTTGCTTAATTTATTTTCTTCACTATGTCTGTATAGAGTCGGTGCCTCGGGTATCATGTTTAAATTTTCGGTGGTGAAAACTGTTGAAAAATATTTATTCAGATTATTGCTCATTTCTCCGTCGTTATCAGTTAGCTCGCCGGTATCCGACTTTTTTTTTTTTTTACGGGGATTAGCCCACCCGGGCACAGGTCACTGACCCACAACGGGGCCTGGAGGGCGAAAATGTAATAGTAATAATAATAATAATAATAATAATAATAATAATAATAATAATAATAATGAATTACAAAAATGATAAAAGATCAAAAGTGAGAAACAATATATGTATGTTGTGTTGTCAATGGTAAGAGAAACAATTGAGACCCTGCAATTGTGTGTAAATGAGACAAAGTCAGATCATCAACCTGGGACTTGGTCACATATGGCAGCAGGGTCTACCATTAGACAACACATTATGCTTCCAATATCTTCCCAGGGGGTAGTACCTCCCTGTTTGGTAGCTGCCTACTGTACTACCTACTGTATTGGTCCAATCTTTTCTCGTGTTTTAGTTTGATACATTTGATAGAATCCCTTTGGGTTTCACTTCGCCTCCCTTGCTACCTTCAGTTCATTATTCCTCTTTGCTTTTCTTATTTTGG